GATACAGGCGAGAATTCAATGTATATCTGAAAACAACGATAAATTATTGATAACGAAAATCAATTCTGAGCGGAGTTCAGTTGATAGTCTATAATTGTCAATAATATATAAATATTTTACCGTATTATGGTAAAATAATGAAATAGACATTATTATGTACTTTCTTTAATAATATTTGTTTAATATTGTATCGATATTCCCGTTTTTCTTTTACGTTTTTCCCGGTTTTTCACATTTGTTGAGAAAACTCCTGGGAAAATCAAAAAATTATCCTTCTAAAGTACCTTCCCAGTCAGAATGATGTTACCGGTTTTTTACCGCCTAAATAAAATACACCTACGATCTATACTACATATTGTTCAATGTTTAATCGGTTCGTTCGTTTTACACGGTGCATTCAAATATTTGTTATAAGTATACTTACTTTATAAATATTATCAAATAAATCATTCATAATCAAATAATTTTAAACTTTTTTGATTAATATGTTAATAAATTTTTTTTAATTTAAATTTTTTCTTAATTAATATCAATTCAGTTACATTTTAAATTATGATAAACATGTTAAATTTCAGTATACATTATGTTATATACAAAATCGGAATACGTTTTTTTTTCTTAGTTTGTACTTTTTTCTTATTGGTAATACAGAGTGATTTTTTTTATCATGAACCAATAATTATCTCAGAGGATTTTAAGAGGCGTAGAGAAGTGTCATAGATAGGCAATTTATTACCCTTCTCTATTCCTCCGGTCTAAACTTTAAACTGTTATAACTCATAAACGGTAAATCTGATATTATTGTATAATATTCTCTATTCAAATCGATGTTCAAAATGGGAGGGGATACTTATTTGAAAATCAAAAGTATGCACTTATTTAAGGAACATGGAGTAGTAACTTTATTAAAGCTTAAACGGTTCCATAATGATTAGAAAGAACAGAAATCAAATACACTTAAAATCCTCCGAGATAATTGCTTGTTCATAATGAAAAAAATCACCCTGTATATATAATTATATTTTTTCACTTTGCCGATTTCACGTATTCAACAACGGCGTTGCTTATTTTATGAAATTGGCAATTTTTCTGCCAATTTCAGGAATTCGGCGTAACATACTGTTCTTAGACTTGGCGCACGGTGGTGTCGACGCCATCCAACTTCGACGGTAGGGTTCGCCTCTATTATTGGATACTTATAGTGCTGTTATATTATTTTATCATCAACTTACAATTCTCAAACATGTGTAAAACGCACGTTTAACTACGTTTAATCGTAATGAATATTTCCCATTTTTTGTTTTTGAAGTTGAGACCAAGAGTATGGATAATAGTAATTCTAAAAAGAAAAAAGGAGAAGCCGTTGGAGTAATTGACCGCAAATAAGTTAAATTTATTCAAATTGCTAAATTTTGTCAAAATATAAACGCCTTTTTTAAATTAAATAATGAAAATGACAATGATCCTGACGACACTGCTTTATGCATGGTAAGTAAAATAATTTATTTAGAATTTTAAATTTTTGCGTCAACAGTACACCATGTACCAATAATACTGTGTTCGGTGTTTCTTTCAGATATTTTACTCCGGGGCGGGACAAATAAGAAAAAAAAACATATTCATATTAGTATTATTTGTAATATTAGGTATATGTAGTTTTTTTAAATTCTGAGTAAAGCGTCTATTAGTTTTACAATGATGTTTATTTTTCCTCTGTTGACACTTTTTGAGGTAGTAAACTTTGTGGAGAAATTACTTTCAGCTCCTCTACAGTTTATAAAATGCAGCCTATCTACATATTGATTTTATCGATAACATGTATTTATTCGTACGGCATACAATGTAATAATAATAAACTATAAAATCATAACATTGATATATATTTTAGGGTAAAACAGTATAGACAAATGGTTAAGATACAAATAGTGCGTAATAATCATAGGTTCCGCATCCTTTCGATAGCGTTAGGCGTTACGTTTTTTATTTTTTTTTCAAATTCCAGTGAGAGGACTTACTCCCCCCCCCCCTTAAAAATACGACCTTAAGTTTTTTCACGAGGGGTTTTTTTCGATTTCTTGAGGTAGCGTCGGCCGTTAACTAGGCCGTCATTGTTGATGAAGACTAGATTTGAATGCATATTTCGTGCGTGTTTAATAGTCATGATAATTAATAGCATGACGTGCATTTAAGAGCCCCGGTCATTATTACGCTAGCACGGTGTGATAATAAAGCACGTAATGTACCTATATGTTTGGAAAGTGGTGTAAAGGGTGGTGAAAGGTGTAAAGCCCCCAACGGGTTAGATTGAGTTAAATAATTGCAAGGGGCGTTATTTATTTTCTCCCATAGTGTTGTTGTGTCGCTCTTCTTTCATTTTTCCAACTCGAGCACTGCTTTTCACTTTCTGAAAAGATAGTTGGCTACAAAGATCGAATTTAATAATGTGATTTCGTTACGCACTTTTCTCTGTGGATTTTATTTCAATGAACGCGAAATAATTAGCTTATCGATTTTACTGTACGTAACCCGAAAATGACACGAGGTGAGCAAATGCGCCGTGCCGGTTATATATATTATTATAGTATTCCGTTCAGATTCGAGAGAAAAAACTAGGTATACGGTCCGAATAATAACTGAATACGGACTTGAATAATTGAATTTTAACGTGATTTTCATTAAGTATACAACAAAACGATGAGCTTGCAAATGTTGGTGGCTAAAATGATCTGCCTCAGCATAGCCGTATGAGAATTTATTAGATATTCCTATACGTTTGGATGGTTACAGTAAAAAAAAATTAAAATGAACACTTTATATACGAGCAGTTTACAGACATGATATAATTAGCTCGAGTATTTTTACTATTTTTGATTAGGTACAGAAATACGAGAAATATTTTTGATTTAGCGTCGAAAAGGGCACGCGTAATGATGTTGAAAAAAAAGTATTTTTTCCGGTAATTCGAAACCACTGCGGAACCCCTAATAATTATTATTTCACGAAATTTGTGTATACTTATACGATGACACTGATTTGTAACCACTAATTTAAAATAATTTTTGTAACTCTAAACTTATAATTTTTAGGTTCTGAGTGGAGCGAAGAAGTATTGGTTTTACTAAGATGATTATTTTTGTTTTTATTTTTTACACTGTGTACAACAATTCTACCAGTGATTAAGAAAGTCGTTTTTTGATTATCCGAAATACCGAAAAAAAAACGCAGAAAGAACCAAAAAATGTACAAAAATAGTGCTTTTATTATTTTCAATTTAGTTTTTTTGTTGTTTCGGTTAAATTATGGATAGAGACTTCAAAATTTGACAGATAATTAATAGATGTAATAGTTTCTTTTTAGGCGTGGTTAAATGTTAAAATTATCTGTCTTATTTTTTTTTACTTTTTGAACAAATATAAAAGTATCTCTAAATACCGGTATTAGAACCGAAACCTTAATTCTGTAATTTTAAAAAAACCGGAACCGAAACCAGTACTGAAATTATTTTTTTTAATAACCGAATTGGAACCGAAACCGAAAAATTCATAAAGATTCCGAGCCCTGACTACACTACCAGTCTCATTACTTTATTTACATGCCTCGTATTTACTATCGGGCTCGTTATTTTTTGTTGTCTTTGTATTTTTTATTCATAGATTATAATTTCAACGTATTAAAAATGATGGTCTGAAGAAGACGGACATACACGTCACACGATAGTGGCTGCACTGTTGTTGGTGAGAAATTGGGAATGTGGGATTTAGAAGGGAAATTAATTTTTATCGGTAAGCAATGATAAACCATTGCTAACGAAAAAACGATTCTGAGCGGAGTTCAGTTGATAGTGATGCTTTGTTAACAACATATATGTCATACTATGGTAAAATAATTAATATATTAGGCATTATATATTTTCTTTAATATCCTACCGATTTTCCTGTTTTTTGTCTTTCTCCGTTTCCCCCTGGTTTTTCACATTTTTTGAGAAATCTCTTGAAAAAATGGCCTCCTCCAGTACCTTCCCAGTTAGATTTTCTTTCAGAAAAAGTGCTATCATTGTAAACTGGAGCAAAATTACTGGTAGATAAGTTGTTCATAAGTAGAAAATAAGACCGTAATATTTTTTAACTAACACCTACATGTCATATATTTTCCTGTTCCATCCCATTTATTGAGATATCTCCTGAGAAAATTAAAAAATTACCTCCCCAGTCTTATTTCTTTCAGAAAAAGTGATGCACTTAAAAATCGGAGCAAAATTTCTGGTAGAAAAGTTTGCATAACAAACTGCGTGAGGGTATTTTTCGATTAAAATAGTCCAAGGGAGCGATAGTTGGGTCTCTATGTACACCTAAAATGCATTTGTTTTTTTCCTTGTTTAGGTAAAACTTAACAAATACGTGAAAACAATTTTTTTCGGAAAACGGGTTTGAACTCGTGAACCCTAGGATGACAATAGGTAAGTATAACCATCTGGCTATAACAAACATACTATAGAGAAGACAATGTAGAGTTTTTCAACATAACATATAATATTCGCATAGTACCAGAACTTCAAAAGCTATGTCGAAACTTAGTCCACTTAATTCTGACTTCACCATAGTTCTTAAATCGGCAATATACATATGTTCAAAAAAAAAAATTTAAAAATTAAATTTGTTCTACATAATTTTTTACTCTACAAATTATTAAAAAACAGAAAACAAATTCCAAGAAAGGCAATTAGGTAATGATCTCTCAGTTAAAAATCACACTGTATAATATTAATATAACTAATAAAATAACTGTTTTAAAGGCTAACTAAAAATATATGTTGCATTAAAATTAAAAAAGCATATTATGGACATTTCTTCAAATATCATTTACACAAATTCTTTGATATGAGATTTGAATAAATAATTTTACCACACCACTGGTTAAACAATACAACAGATAATATTAAGTTACATAAATATTAACAATAATAATCATTTCACATTTATTTATTTAAATGTACTATATTTCAAAAAACATTTCTTTTTACTGAAGTACAAAATTATCAAATCTTAAGATAATTTCTAATACAGTATTAGTTCAAATAAAAACGATTAGAATAAATTAAGATTAGTTCTATAATTTTTATTTTTTTGTAGAAATAAATAATAATGCCATGCAAATTTAACTCTAATGAACACATAAAAATGCAATGGTGAAAAATGCTTTAAAAATGTATAAAAACCAATTAAACCTACAAATTGCATATTGAATTTATTTAGACTCAAAAACCCACACAATTATTATTGTGGACGAATCACCTGGATATTTTAATACTTTATATTTCACTCAGTTTGATCATGTTTAACATATTTTATAGTAGATTCTAAAAGCACATGCAATACAAAAATTAAGATAATATAATATATAATAAAAACTAACAAACATATCGGACTGTAAAAAAAAATTTTATTTAAACTTTTTTATTAAGTATACAACAAAAATGATAATGATATAATATTTTTACTGTAATTTATCAATGTGATAAATCATTTTTATGTAGCAATAGGAAATAGGAATGTGTTGGGTTTATAAATTAATTAATTAATCAACTTCTTCAATAGTTGGGCCAGCACCTGAACCAGCTCCGGCTCCGGGATCACCACCTGGAAAACCTGGCATACCACCAGGCATGCCTCCAGGCATACCACCCTGAGCTCCAGCATACAATTTGGTAATAATGGGGTTACAAACTCCCTCTAACTCCTTTTGTTTATGTTCGTATTCTTCCTTTTCAGCCAGTTGGTTAGCATCTAACCATTTAATTGTATCATTAATTTTATCCATAATGATGGTTCTGTCAGTTTCTGGGATTTTGTCCTTGAGTTTTTCATCTTCCATACTACTCTTGATATTAAAGCAGTAAGATTCCAAGCTATTTTTGGCAGAAATTACATTCTTTTGTTGTTCATCTTCTGCCTTGTATTTCTCAGCATCATTCACCATGCGTTCAATATCCTCCTTGCTCAAACGTCCCTTATCATTAGTGATGGTGATCTTATTTTCTTTATTGGTTGACTTTTCAATGGCACTGACATTTAAAATACCATTGGCATCNGTTCTGTCAGTTTCTGGGATTTTGTCCTTGAGTTTTTCATCTTCCATACTACTCTTGATATTAAAGCAGTAAGATTCCAAGCTATTTTTGGCAGAAATTACATTCTTTTGTTGTTCATCTTCTGCCTTGTATTTCTCAGCATCATTCACCATGCGTTCAATATCCTCCTTGCTCAAACGTCCCTTATCGTTAGTGATGGTGATCTTATTTTCTTTATTGGTTGACTTTTCAATGGCACTGACATTTAAAATACCATTGGCATCAATGTCAAAAGTGACTTCGATTTGAGGGACTCCACGTGGTGCTGGGGGGATAGCAGTGAGCTCGAATTTTCCCAACAAGTTATTATCTTTTGTCATAGCACGCTCTCCTTCATAAACTTGGATCAACACACCAGGTTGATTATCAGAGTAAGTAGTGAAAGTCTGGGTCTGTTTGGTTGGAATAGTGGTGTTACGCTTAATAAGAGCTGTCATCACACCACCAGCAGTTTCAATACCCAGAGACAATGGAGTAACATCAAGCAACAACAAGTCTTGGACTTCTTCAGATTTGTCTCCATGCAAAATAGCTGCTTGAACAGCAGCACCATAGGCAACAGCCTCATCGGGGTTGATAGACTTATTCAATTCTTTTCCGTGGAAGAAATCTTGCAATAATTTTTGTACTTTGGGGATACGAGTAGAACCTCCAACCAATACAATATCGTTAATGGCAGATTTGTCAATTTTGGCATCACAGAGAGATTTTTCTACTGGTTCCATAGTGCTACGGAAAAGATCAGCATTCAATTCTTCAAAACGAGCACGGGTGATGGATGTGTAGAAATCAACTCCTTCAAACAACGAATCAATTTCAATGCTCGCTTGGGTAGATGATGACAGAGTACGCTTTGCACGTTCACAAGCTGTTCTCAATCGTCTTAACGCCCTCTTATTGGAAGTCAAGTCCTTCTTGTACTTGCGTTTGAACTCTTGAACAAAGTGATTAACCATTCTATTGTCAAAATCTTCACCTCCTAAATGGGTGTCTCCAGCCGTAGACTTTACTTCAAATATTCCGTCTTCAATGGTCAAAATGGATACATCAAAAGTACCACCACCCAAATCAAAGATAAGAACATTACGTTCTCCAGATGTCTTTTTATCAAGACCATAAGCAATAGCCGCAGCTGTTGGTTCGTTAATAATACGCATAACATTCAAACCGGAAATAGTACCAGAATCTTTGGTGGCTTGACGCTGGGAGTCATTGAAATAAGCAGGTACTGTGATTACAGCATTTGTCACCGTCTTTCCTAAGTAGGCTTCAGCGGTTTCCTTCATCTTGGTCAAGACCATAGAAGATACCTAAACAAATAATTTTGGACATTAGTTAAAAATCATCAAAGGGGAATATGTTTGGTGGTTCAACCAGGTAAATTAATAATTTTCGTGTTCTAAAGCGGGTATACATTTTTATATTACACAATATTAAACAGGACTTTAAATGTACCTCTTCAGGGGAAAAAATTTTGCTCTCCCCTTTGTAGGATATTTTGATCTTTGGTTTACCACCATCACTAATAACTTCAAAAGGCCAGTGCTTCATATCAGCTTGAACAGTAGCATCTTCGAAACGTCTTCCAATCAATCGCTTAGCATCTATAATAGAATATAATTTTACTATACCCATTAAAAACATACGTTATTTACAATTATTTAGTGCTTACCAAAGATTGTGTTGTTAGGATTCATAGCAACCTGGTTTTTTGCTGCGTCTCCAATAAGACGTTCAGTATCAGTGAAACCAACATAACTAGGAGTAGTACGGTTTCCCTGGTCATTGGCAATGATCTCTACTTTACCGTGTTGAAACACTCCAACACAAGAGTATGTTGTACCCAAATCGATACCAACTGCAGGAGTTTTAGCCATTTTTGGTTAATAGGTTTATGGCTTAATAAATATTGTAGGAACAAAAACTGTTATCAAGGCTTCTGTCAACAACAAAGATAAACATTCAATGAAAATTAAGTCTAGAAAATAATACATTATAATAGTCTTTAAAAATATAAAAATTAAAGTAAGAATTCAAAACAACTGATTACTTGATGTTATAAAATATCTAGTTGGTGATCAATGACTGTGCATAATATTATAACTTATCTTAAACTAGCACTCAGTTTTTTATTTAACATATTATTAGCTTTAGCAAATTGCAAAATTTTTTACTCCCCCCCTCCCCCCACTAGAAAGCCGAAGAATGTTTGTAGAATTTCCTAATTCAAATGTTTCACTTTATTTATATTAAGAATATCAAAAAATAGTTATTCTTCTTGGGTAATACTAAAATATATTAGTGTACTCATGTACGATTTATGGATTTTAAAATAAAAGTAATCCTCACCACAGTTGCAGCACAGAGCTAAAGAATAAAAAAAAAACTCGATCTTTGACCACTGTATATTATATGAGATGACCAACACGTAGTTGACTGAGGGTTTTCGTTGGTATAGAAACATACTTAACCATCCAGTCTAAAAGTTGCGTATTTAAAGTGCATGTATTTTAAATGAAACAATACAATACATTTTAGTGTACAAAGTTTGATCCCTTATAATGATAAATAAAACAACTATTGCAATTATCTATATTGATATCATGTCTATTATAGAATGCAATTAACATCATTAAACACACATACGATGAAAGGTTGTTGTGAATAATTTAATTAATTGTATATGTGAGCAGACCTTAATTATTACCTTTAATTTAATTTAATTCAATAAAAATATGCACTTATACAGATTAATGTGAAAGTGGTGCTTAGACTACAAAACTGATAACCACATAACCAATTATTATTCACAAATTATTAGCATAACATTGAAAAACAAAGTACTGAAGTTCGAAAAATGAATACATTTTAATATATGTGAATAATTTGGAGTAGGCACTTTAGTAAACAAAAAATTTTTGCAAAGAAATTTAGTAAAAATCAAAATTTTTTTGCCACAAAATAGATCTAAAATTTAAAACAATACAAATTATTATGTAGGATTCATAAAAAAATCTCACAATTTAAGTAGGGGATAGGTGAACACTCAAACTGACCCTCTCGGTTGCACCACTAAATATTTTTGTAATACCTATGACCTACCTAATTTTTTTTTCTTAAATTATTTATCCATTAATTTATACGTATTTAACCATAACTAAATAATAAATATAGCAATTATATATAAGCAATTAATACATAAAGAGCAAGAGAACCAAATATATTAATCTAAATTCTAAATAAATTTATTACAATGGTTTTGTCAAGTTGTCTTAACCACGAAAAATTAATAATTACTAAACTTGTGACATAAAGTTTTTGTGAATTTGTTAAAAGTACGGTCAAAAATTGAAAATATATCATTTTAGTGCAGTTACAATTCGTAGTAGCCTGCGAAGCAATGATAACGGTCAAAATATTCGTTTCTTGCATCCTTCATAGATGAAACTTACCCCTACCTTTAGTTGCAAAATAATAAGACTAATTTTGTATGATATTTAATCATATGACAAGAACTAAAATGGCTACGATTATAATGATAACACTTCCTAGACGCCGCACCGATGGTTAAACGGGGACAAATAATAATTCTGTAGGGAATGATTAAGTCACCGATAATCACAAAAATTTGTGACAGGTTTGTAAACGGTGTAACCAATGAAACCAAACGAATTTCATCGATTTAAAACAGATTCGAATTTTGAGGGGAAATTGTCACCGGTTATTCTCAACAAATTTGTGGTTTATAATTCAATAAATGAATTCATAGAAATGAAGTCTAATAGAAGACATTATAACTATCGTGTTATTATATCTTAGTACATACAAATACAATGCAATCTAAGCAATACGATCAAAATTCGGAAGTACATCGGAACCTAAAACAAATTAAATTTGAAAAAAACTACAGACGAAAAATATGGTGGGAACAGTAACAATAATATTACCGTTGTTACGAAACTGTAAACAAAATATGAATAGGTACTGTATACCTAGTGGACGTAAACCAATTTCGTTAGGTCAAACATAAACACCAGTCGAGACAGACTCCGAATAAAGTTCCACAGTACTGTTAGCTGACCCCAAAAAGTTTCTTCGTACTTAAAACCAACAATAGGGATGATTAAACGAGGAAATAAGGTATAGGAAACAATAAATAAAACAGTTACTCACCAAAAACGACTTATGCAGAAGCGACGGTAAACTTGAAATGGCGGCGAAATGTGAATCGAGAATGAACAATGAAAATTGAAAACGAGACGAGTGAAATTCAATAAATTAATACCTACCCCTCTGCCATCACCACTGAACTCGGTTGATGACGCGCATAGAAGCTTCGAGAATATTCTAGACGATTGTCATGGAATAAAAATCATAAACGGTCAAAATTAAAAACCAATAAAATCATTCGTTTGTGTCCGGACTCTATTTACATTGTAATATACGAACCAATTTTTTGGGGTTGTCAATTTTTTTTAGTTACCGACAAACTTGAAACTAAAAAAATTTCGTGTTCCATGGTGCAACCAGTTATCGCCGTTTATCAATGTTTTCCCGCTTTTTTTTGTAGGTTATTTTGTTTTCACTCAGATTGAATATTGGTATTGTTGTGTAATACCTCGTATTATGTTGTATAATATTGAATTTTATTTTTTTTTCGTTTTGGAATTTGATACCTTTTATTGGTTTCATTAATTTAATTAACGATCTGCTGGCTCAGCTCAGTATCACCTTTATCTGGTTTTCATTCCGATATTACCCGACACAAAGTAGTCAAGAATCGTACTGCACTCCGATCGAGCATAGCATTAATAACAATAGTAATTATTGTAAGTATAAATTTGACCATGTTGGTATTAAAATTTTTCAAAATTTATTTAAGAATATTCTAAAGTATTTATAGGTGACAGAAAATATCAGAAATTTTATCTTAATGATTCTTTCTTTTTTATGTTACGTTGTAATATTGGATATTAGCCTCTGATCTAAAGCTACATTGTATGAACAACATTATTATTTATTACTTAAATTAGTAATTTGTAATAACTAATTTCAACACCTAATATAATTTAATGAAATTTAATCAGAGATAAACAGTTGTGCTAGCATTGTAAGTAAAAGTTGATCTTATTATACAAATTAATAAAATCCTTAAAATCTATATGGCCTAATTTTCTTTTATATTTAATTATTATTATTTTGATATAACTATACTTGAGGCTTTAATGGATCGATTTTCTTTTTTCAAAATATTAAAATATTTACCTACCAATCCATTTAGTATTCCTTCATTATTGCCCTAACTGTTTGATTACACACAAGTGGGGTTAGCTACTTTTTTATTCTTGACCTCCATTTTTCCCCTAATAACCTCAACAATAAAACAATTTTAAAATGTTTTATGTTTTCACAATATATATTCAAAAACTATAACTATGGTATCTGATAAATAACAATTTAAAACCACTTTTTAATAACAGAAAATGATAAGTCTATAGCCTATACGTCATACAGTAGTACCTGTTAATATTTGTAATATTTTTATTTGACTTAAATTATTATTACACACCTCTCTAATACATTTATTTTTCTTTTTCAGGATTGTAAAAGTTCCATGTGGATTATGCCATGTTAACTATTAATAATGTCAACAAGTTTATAAACAATAATATACGTTCAGAAGCGCAATCTATAAATTTAAAATACAGGTTAGTATAACTGTAAAAAACAAAATATTTTGTTTAACCTAGACTTGATTATGGATGATTGTAATATCACTATCTAGTTGAGAACAAGTATTAAATAGTTAAACATATTAATATTATTTAAAACAATTCTTAAATGGTACCTATTAGTTGTATAATGTAAAATAAAATGAATAAAAATTTCTCCAATTTAAATAATATTAATATTTCCATTGATTACTATGAATAATCTCTATTTATATTAAAATTTTTTTTAATTTAAAAATTTGTTTTAATTGTTTTTTCATATTATAAATGATATAATATATAATACTTATTATTTGTATTCTATACCACAGATTAAGATAAAAGTCCATGTAGTATACTCAATCAATTTTATCACTTTAAGCAATTAAATGTTTTTCAAATAAAAACGTCTGTCATTATGTAGTTTAGATTAAATACTATATTATCTAGGTAATATTTAGTTTTTAATTTTATTTATAGAAAGTGCAAAGTTTCACTTCTATTTATTTAATTATATTTAGCCATTATTAATATTGACAGTTTAATTATTTTGATAGTTTAAAGTTATATAAAACATAAACTTAGAAGTGTAATAATGTATTTGTAATTACTATTTTAGACTTGTGTAACCTTAGAATGACTTAAGCCAAAACTAGTATTATGTATAAATTAATGTTTACTCTTCTAAGTCTCTTGTTTTACATGATTTTATTCATCTATTCATATTTTTATTTTTGAAGTATTTTTTTTTCACTTTTTAAGAAAATAATTATGAACATCATTGTTTAAACATATATATAATTAAAATTTAGTAAATCCAATAAAATTAAAATACTAACATATTTTAAAGTTACTTATCGTAATATATTCTTATAGTTTTATAGAAGAAGAAGAGTTTTATTGTTATTGAGTAATAATTTCCCTCCTTCCCGAACACCAATAATAATAATAATTTTAAAATTGAGATTTTTAAATAATTTTATAATATTCATTAATATGTTAATAATAATAATTTCAATAATTATTATGTTAAGTTTTATAATTTTTTAATTACATCTAGTATTCTTATTTAGTATTTTGAGTTATGATCCTATTGCTAAACACACGATAAACTAAAGATCATTACTAAGTTAACATTTATATACCATAACTTCCTAGGTTAAGCGAAATGTTAACCTTTAATTTTTTCCAGTTTATTCTGTGCAACTATTAGTAAAACCCTTTATTGAATTTATTTTTATTGCAGACTTTAATAAAACACAAGAAAGATGTTTAATAAGAAAAGACCAAATTCTTCAGATAAAACTGGACATTTAAAAAAAAAATTCAAAGGTGACAATGATGATTTTGAACAATCTATGTTTGAAAATGATCTGGCAATTATGGATGAAATGGATAAAGAGTTTGAATCTTCAGAAGCTACATTGGGAGTGGGTCCTGATCAAGAAGACTCCAGTGCTTTGTGGACTAGACCCATCATGAAAGTGATTGATCCAGCTACAGAAAGTTTAACTTTTCAACAACTTACCATAGACAATTATATCGGTGCACCAATTAAAGGGATGAGTGGCGTCCAGACTGGTTCAGTTCCCATAACTCGGATGTTTGGAATCACTATGGAAGGTAATTCTGTATGTTGTAATGTACATGGCTTTTCTCCATATTTTTATACAACTGCACCTGAAGGATTTGGCTATCAAAATTGTAAAGAATTTATAAGTCGTTTAAATGCAATTGTTTTGAATGATATGCGTGGCAACCAGAATAGAGTACAAGAGCCTGTTCTTATGGTTGAAATTGTTGAAAAAAAAAACTTGTATGGTTATCATGGTGAAACCCAAGAAAAATATTTAAAAATTACAATGGCTTTACCAAAATTAATACCTGCAGCTAAAAGGCTTCTAGAAAGAGAAGTGGTGCTCCCTGCATTTTCTACCCATCAATATAAAATGTTTGAAGCTAATGTTGATTATGATATGCGCTTTATGGTAGATTTAAAAGTGGTTGGTTGCAGCTGGATTGAGCTTCCTGCTGGTTCCTACTCTATTCGTGAAGTCAATTCTAATCTAAAAAAACATTCTAGATGTCAAATTGAAGTGGATGCTGATTTTCAAAAACTAATAGCTTATCCCCCTGAAGGTGAATGGAGCAAAGTGGCACCTTTCCGCATACTCAGCTTTGATATTGAATGTGCTGGTCGTAAAGGAGTTTTTCCTGAGCCAGACAAAGATCCTGTTATACAAATAGCTAATATGGTACAAATAGAAAATAAAAGATTAATTAGAAATGTGTTTACATTAAATACCTGTGCGCCAATAGTTGGTAGTCAAGTAATAAGTTGTGAAAAAGAAAATGTCATGCTTGAAAAATGGGCCGCCTTTGTACGAGAATGCGATCCTGACATTATTACTGGGTATAACATTAATAATTTTGATTTACCTTACTTACTTAATCGCGCAAAACATTTACATGCTAGAAATTTCAATTTCTTAGGACGTATCAAAGATACACAGTCTGTAATAAGGGAACAAATAATTCAAAGTAAACAAATGGGTCGAAGAGAAAATAAAAGTATTAATATTGATGGCAGAGTTCCTTTTGATTTATTTTTGGTATTAGTGCGAGACTATAAATTACGATCATATTCATTAAATTCTGTCAGTTACCATTTTTTACAAGAACAAAAAGAAGATGTCCATCACAGTATTATAACAGACTTACAAAATGGGACTCCACAAACAAGACGTCGTCTAGCAGTTTATTGTTTGAAGGATGCTTTCCTTCCATTGAAACTTTTGGACAAATTAATGTGCTTGATTAATTACATGGAAATGGCTAGAGTAACAGGTATGCCATTAGGAAGTCTTCTAACCGGAGGTCAACAAGCAAAAGTTGTATCTCAACTACTCCGTCTTGCACAAGAAAAAGATTATATTATGCCTACAATGACTAGTGGTGTGTCAGATGAACAATTTGAAGGAGCTACTGTAATAGAACCCATGAAAGGTTATTATGCTGATCCAATAGCAACATTAGATTTTACTTCTCTGTATCCAAGTATAATGATGGCACATAATTTATGTTACACTACACTATTGACTCAAAAAACAATAAATCTTTTAAAATTGACTGAAAATGATTATAAAAAAACCCCATCTGGTAGTTACTTTTTATCCAATTCTTTACGTAAAGGTTTATTGCCAGAGATTTTAGAAAATCTGTTATCTGCACGTAAAAAAGCAAAATTAGACTTAAAATCTGAGACCGACCCATTAAAAAAAAAAGTATTAGATGGTAGACAATTGGCATTAAAAATGAGTGCAAACTCTGTGTATGGATTTACCGGAGCACAAGTTGGAAAGTTACCATGTTTAGAGATATCAACAAGTGTTACTTCGTATGGTAGAATGATGATTGAACGGACCAAGCAAGAAGTTGAACAAAAGTATTGCATAGCAAATGGTTATAAACATGATGCTATAGTTATTTATGGAGACACTGACTCTGTGATGGTAAAATTTGGAGTAAAAACTATTGAGGAAGCAATGGAATTGGGACGTGAAGCAGCTGAATATGTGACCACAAAATTCATAAAACCTATAAAATTAGATTTCGAAAAAGTGTACTTTCCGTATTTGTTAATCAACAAAAAACGTTATGCGGGCCTTTATTTTACACGACCCGACAAGTATGACAAAATGGACTGTAAAGGATTAGAAACCGTACGCAGAGATAATTCACCTTTGGTTTCTAACATGATTAACACTTGTTTACAAAAGTTACTCATTGATAGAGATCCTGATGGTGCAGTGGCTTACGCTAAAGAAATTATTAGTGATTTACTATGCAATCGAATAGACATATCACAGTTGGTTATCACTAAAGAGTTGACTAAATCTGATTATGCTGCTAAGCAAGCTCATGTTGAATTATCAATAAAAATGAAAAAAAGAGATCCTGGAAATGCACCTAAATTAGGCGACCGCATACCGTACATTTTAACTACAGGTACAAAGGGTACACCTGCATATCAACGTGCAGAAGATCCTATATTCGTTCTAGAAAACAACATACCTATTGATTTCAACTATTATTTGGAAAATCAACTTTCTAAGCCTTTAGTCCGTATTTTTTCTCCAATTCTTGGTGATAAAGCAGAATCTGTCTTGTTGAAAGGTGATCATACACGTAAAAAGGCCATGGTAACATCAAAAGTAAGTGCGTTATCAGCTTTTACAAAAAAAAAAGAAGTATGCTTGGGATGCAAAAGTGTGTTGCCTACTGGTGAGGAAAGAAACGCATTATGCAAATATTGTATGCTCAAACAAGGTGAACTGTATTATCAAGAACATCTTAAAGTGAGTGACTTGCAAGAAAAGTTTTGCCGGTTGTGGACCGAATGTCAGCGTTGTCAAGGAAGTTTGCACGAAGAAGTTATTTGCACTAGTCGGGATTGTCCAATATTTTATCTAAGAAAAAAAGTGCAGATTGATCTAAATGCTCAGGTGAAAACAATGGATCGTTTTGGAAACCCTAATAACAAATAGAAGAATTTAAACCTAATTTTATTTTTGTATGTTTATTCTGTTCTTTTTTATTATTATTCAAGTATACTTCATAGTATTTAATAATTTACAGTATTATATTATGATGGCCACAGAGTAAAAATTAATGTACCTAATATAACATACCATTTCTTATTTCATTGTTATGTTTTTTTTTTTCATTTTGACTGTATTATTTATAGTTTATTTAGCTTTAATATTATGTTTTTCCAAAAGCTTTTTGGAAAATATTAAAGATCTTAAACAAATTATTATTCAATATAAACTATTTATATACTAATGATACTAATGTTAAATTATATTATAATTTTTTTATTTCTGGATTAGAAATTTCAAGCACCTACTTATGTATAAATGTATACAATTCCTAATATTCTTACCTATTACTCAATGTAAAACATATTTTATTTTTAAAATGAATAGTCAGCAAGAAATAATTGTTATGTGCCTAATTGTGCATAATATAGGTAACAAAATATTATGAAAATAACTTTGGTAAATTTGGTTTATTATGTTAATTGTAGTATTATACATTTTATATTATGGTACCCATTTATAATGTTAGAAAAAAAAATGGCTTTAAAATGAATATGTGGTAAAAAATAATATTCTTACATATATGTACTAATAGTTTACAACTATTACCTACACCACACTAAAGTTAACATATTATGAACGAATTAAGTATAACTTAAAAGAGTTTTTGTTGTATTCTAGACGGGATGCGTCGCCTGGAGTATGGCTAATGTTCCTGTTACCGTGTTCCATAATCGTCAGCCACTTCACTTGCAAAACCAACTCTGAACCGTACTTGACATCGACAATATTGAGCTTTGGGCTTCTAGTAAGCGCCATATCCAATGTGCTGCACTGTCAACGTTTTCCGGCTAAACCATTAAGTTACATAGTCACCACATCTATCATAGCACATCTCCTGACCCTTTACACCGATTTAGGTGAGTCTTAAAACTATTATTATTTGAAACAGTTTATAGAGATTGTCGAGGAAAAAATAGAATAACTAATCTATGGCCATACATATCTCTGCTACATTGGTACAGTAATCCAATGACAACTGTCTCTTCCCCCAATGAATATGAAGGGTGCAAAGTGCATATTTAATTTTAATTTTGAGATAATGATATGACTATTCGATAATGCGTTGAGATTATTATTGAACATTGAGTTTGATTCAATGAAAAAAGATTCAGTTAAATAATATTTGAAGATAAAATATATTGGATGTGTCTATGTAACTTATAAGAATTTTTACTCTACTAAATAATTTTTAAAAATTACAACCCTTCTTCCATTATGCTTTTAATACGTTCTCTAAATCTAATATCACGATGTCGTTTTCTGCTACAGGTATCAGTTATAATTTGTCGTGCGCCGTGTTTTGCGCCTTTTCCTATCACCGACTTTTGAGGATAGTCGTGTCATGTTGCCCATTGAGTTTCACTTACGGCGAAGCCACCGTGACCGTACAGGCGGCACTTCTATTTATCATCGCTTCCATTACCAACATGTTGGCCCTGCCTCGTGAGCAAACGTGTTTCGATGTGTTCACATTGATACTCCAGGTCCATACAAGCTCTTTGTTATAATTCCGATAGTTGAATATTTTTTAACTATACTCACAGTATCTATAGCTGAGTTATTTGTTTATGTTTCAGTTCGGAATCATTGGCGTTTCAGTATTCGCGTTAGCTGTGTACAATATTAAAAGTCTGAGAACGTCGCCGGCTAGGTTTTATGCGACATTTACCGCGATCGTGTCGACTGCGATTCTATTGCCACTCCACTTGGTGCTGGGCGGTAGTCCCGTACTCAAAATCTTACATTGGGCGTTGAGAGATCGATATTCAGTGAGAACCCCTCTTTTTGACATATATGTATACTAGAGTGGTTCTTATTTCGCAAACTTCAAAATTTCCTGACACTCATCTATCTTGTGCCGTATAAAAAAAATATATTTAAAAAATTTATAAAGTTTGAGGCCATTTAGATAATATTTATTGAATATATATATATAATACCATCTATAATAGGTAGTCAAATGTCATAATTTATTAAAACGAAAATATTGCTTAAATTGTTACTGTGTATAAGTTAACAGCTAAGTACCATTACAACACGGAGACACTATCTTATAAATTAAGTTCTAAATATTATAATTGCTGGAAAATAATTTGTGTAACATATAATATTAGGTTTCTATTTAAAAAAAAAAGGGTCACTATGTTAATAATTATTGTCACTAAATTCAATTTTTTATAACCCAATAGTAGTTATGAGGCCCGTGATAGCAATGTTTCTAAAAGGAAATTTCACCAGGAAGGTACTTTAAAGAGGTCATTTTTTGATTTTCTCAGACGTTTTTCATTAAATTTAAAAAACCGAAAAAAAATATTTATTAATTTATTTACGAGTATTAACCATTTAATAATTTTGTTTTTACTTTATTATTTTATTATTTCTTATATTTATTGTATAAATATATGTATTAAACGGTTTTAGTTCATTTTCATTAAGTACCTTTTTCAAGCGGGAACACTTCCTTTTTTCGATACCATTTGCTTAAAGATTAGATTGTTCAAGAGTTTCAGAAATCAACCGAAACAAATATTGCTTTATAAAATTACCAACTATTTCTTTCTTAAAATAATTTATCTTATAATATTAATGAAGTACAGTCGACTCGCAACTCACGATAACTCGAATGTTGATAATAGAAAACCTTGACAATTCAAATTTTTATTTTCGCCCCTTTGAAGTTCTCGTAAAATTCAACGTATAAGTCTCGAATATATTTGTAAAATAATGATAAATAACTTAGCTGTAATAATAAACTGCTTAATAATTTCTTAACACGTTCAACTAACATAACCCTATTTATGTTTTCATAACAAAAATTATAATTTTTGGATTAAAATAGGACCTTATTTTTATATTAAAAAAATCAATTCTAAACGATTTATTATGGTCGTTTGTACACTATTTTCATTGATTTTGTGTAATCTTTTAGATATTAAATAGTAAAACCGTTCGCCGTTCGCCTCTACTAAATATTATAAAAATTACCTCAAACTTTGAAGATATATTTTTGTTTATTTTACAGCATAAAATAGACTGTTATCCCAAAAGAAATTTTGAAATTGGCGAAATAAGGACCACCCTACTTGGGCGTATATCATTTTCGCATTACTATTGTTCTTTTCGGCCTTTTTCATTTACGCACCATTAAATGGGTCATACATAATTTGCGCATCAACCTTTTTTTTACAATGGAAAGTTTAGGAATACCAAAAATCGCGAATTGTTTCCTAACTTTCCGTTAAATTTACAGTATTATTAATATTTAAATTCATTGATTATAAAGAACATATTTTCAAATATAGGTATTACAGGTACAGAAGTTATTTCTATTTTAAAAAATATAATATAGGTGCATATACCTATTATTACTACGATACCCACAGGTGAGTTGTAATAACGAAATCCGACCAGATATTATCGTATAGTATAAATAGATGTATTTAATTGATATGATTATTAGCAGTCAACGTTTAATTTTAAAATAGTGAGATCAGTTAAAATTAGGCAATATGATAAGTCAGTATTAAAATTTGACAATTTGTCAATTGTGGAAAAGCTTCTGTCACTTTTAAAAAATATTTGTATACGGAAAATAAAACACTAAAAAATAAGGACGGTTTTTTTTTTTTTTTTTTTACCTATTGTTCAATATATTGGCGCTCAAATGAAGTATATGTTGACGTGAGGTAAACGGACAGTGCGCAAACCATAATAACCGCCGCCTTACATTATACCTGTATATTATATAAATTATTGTTATTTTGCCGAGCGTAAAAATGTTGATCGTTTTCGTATAAACCGTTCGTCAGACGATGCTGTTGGTTTACTGGGTCGGCTGTTCGGCGTTTGCAGTCGTTTTCGTGTGCGTGCAAATATTGAACGACTCCAAAGCCTCCACTTCTATACGGAAGAATTTCCATCTGATCGCGTGTCTAGTGTACGTCCCTGGGCTGTTCCGCGATCCTTGTCTGTTGTACTTAGCCAGCGGTGTGGCCTTTGCCGCTTTCATACTGCTGGAAGTGAGTGTATAATATTATAATATGTACCTATCTACTTTTTACCACTGTAGTCTAGCGGCTGCGAAATTACTTTTGTTCGAACTTTCGAAAAGATAATTTTTTAATTTTAGATTCTGAGCGCACCGATGAGGAACGCATTTTACAAGAGAAAGATTTTTTTTTTTTTGGCATTTCGGCAGCATTTTAGTTGACGCATAGAGGTCACCTTTTGATTTTCTAAATAGTTTTCATGATAATTAAGAAAAAAGGAAATTTATGGCAGTATAAATGTCATTATTTTCAACGCATTCTGTCGATTTAAGTTATTAATAAGCATTTTTTTTTTTCAGTTATAATTTGTATATTTATGTGGATAGAATAACAATTCTGTTGATCGAACAGAAATGCAAGACATTTTAACTTGAGGTTTAGTATAAGTTGTTATTATTAATCTTTAGTATTTCCAACGTTAATAAAACACGGGCATACTTCGCATTATGGGAGGGCCACTGTTGTAGGTGAAAAGTTGGGAAGATAGGATGTAGAGGAGAATTTAATTTTCGCTACGATAAACCACTGCTAATGAAGAACAATTTAGAGCAAAATTTATGTTACATAATATGTAAGTAAATTTTCCCGTTGTCCCTACCTTTTTTTCCTGGTTATCTAGATTATTATGAAAACCTCTTGGAAAATCAAAAAATAATTTCTCTAAAGTACCAACTAGAAAAATGTCTGTTTAGAAAAAATGCTAAACTTGATACATTTGGAGCAAGATTTCTAGTATAAGAAAAAAACAAAAATAAACATTATAAAATCAATACATTCTTCGCTACGCTCCAAATCTAAAATTAACTTGTTGGACAATCTGTTGGTTAGGCTTCAATTCAATTAGTCAAATAATCAAAATCGACTTTTACAATATTGTTTGAAAATATCTCTTCATCACCCTGTAGGACATATATTGTTTACCGTTTTAATGTATATTAACGTTTATGTAGTCACCTAGTTAGACAAACTAATTGGCAACTTTATTTTTTCACTGTTTCTGCAGACTTGTCGTATTGCAAAAATGCCGCCTCTAGGTACAATCTTACAGCGAGGTTTTCACGTATACTCAGACGAGAAGGACGAAGGACCGGTTGCTTTCACTCCGATCTACTTGTTGGTCGGGTGCTCTCTGCCCCTGTGGATCCATCCGCGGCCTGATTCCCGGAGCCTGTTGCCACTATTGGCCGGCGTGCTGTCCATCGGCATTGGAGACACTGCCGCCAGCGTGATCGGTTCCAGATTCGGTCGACACAAATGGACAGGTGCGTATTTATGGGATTGCGTAGAAGCAATTTCATTTAATTTTTTGGAAAAACCAAAATTCGTCAATTCAAAATTATTTAAAGTAAATTTTTGTCATTATCTCAAAAATTAGGGTGACAAAAAATAATACAATTATGAAATTGTAGAGCAGCTTGTTTCTTAAATGTTCTAAATATAAATTCTGGAAAAAGTTAATATTTTCCAAGATAATGAGTGTACCCACTTAATTGATTCGCCTGGTACTTAAAGTTAATAATGTTTAATTTTAGATTCTGAGTGGAGCGAAGAAGCTTAAGATTTTACGATGTTATTTTTTTTTTAATTTTCCCAGAATTTTTATTAACAAATGGGAAAAACTGGGATAATGTAAAAAATATAGGTATTATTAAAAATATTACGGCCCCCTTTTTTCCTGTGAACAACTTTTCTACAAGCAATTTGACTTTAATTTCCAATGATAGCAATTTTTCTGAAAGGAAATTCGACAGGAAATATACTTTAAACCGGTCATTTTTTGATTTTCTCACGAGTTCTCATCAAATGTGAAAAACCGGAAAATATAATAAAAGTAACCACGTTAAGATGATGATCGGTCGCACAAGAAAGATTAGCCTATTTCAACACCGCGACCTCCTCACGTTCCATAATGAAAACAAACATTACTTATGCAGCTTACCCATTAATTGTATACACCGTGTGCGTAATATACGTTTTATTATTAATTTTTTTTTCTTCAACATATGCATTGATTGGTAACACCATGCACGTAGTATACGTTCTATTATTATTATTATTTTTTTTAATAAACCAATAGTAAGTATTGTATGAATTTTATTCAACTACTGAACTACCGTAATATTATAAATTAATCAATACTTATGTAATGTTGTTATTTTGTGTACAGCTGTATAAGTGGGTGTTTTGAACAGGTCAGTTGTCATATTACATTTATATAATCTGAAGATCTGATTGATGTAAAACCAAAATATATAACCACAATTAATAAATTTATTTATTTAATATATATATTATATTTATTATACGTATAATTTTTTTTGATGGGTTTTCTATATGTGGGCTTTTTTTTCTATGAGTTTTTTTTCCATGATAATTTTTTCCTAGATTCATTTAAATCATATTAACACACAAAAAAAAAAACAGAAAAAGTGATCAAGTTGGTATCCTCCAAAGTGAAATTAGAGATAAATCATCTTTTTACAACAAAATAGTTAGAAGACATTATTTCTAAGAGAACCTTGTATGTATTTTGCTTTACTTAATTAAAGTATAAAGAAAAAATTGTATATATTTAACCTTTCCAACTATAGGTTACCCCTATTTACATTTCATATTGTAATACACTTGAAATTACTTTACAGGTATGAAAAAAAGCATTGAAGGTTCTGCTGCTTGTTTCATTTCTCAAGCTCTGTGTATCGTTGCCCTCAGTTACACAGGTATATAAGTATAATTGTATTAATCTAAATATTTAGACAGTGTCATACCTAGAGAAATCAGAACCCAGTGCCATACAAATTTACCGATGAATAAAAAAAAAAAAAGCTCAACCTGTCTATTGAAATTAAATAAATAACCAAAAATATTTACAATTTTTTTTCATAGGTTTATTGTGCGATATCAATCTTTTAAAATCTCTGTTTGGGGCCTGTTGTGTGACTCTTGTCGAAGCAAAAACTGAACAAGTAGATAATCTAGCATTGCCTCTTTTGTTTTATACAATGCTATTATTTTAATTGTTGTTAATGTTGAAAACAAATTATCTGATATAATTTATGTTAATTATGTGTTAATGGTATTAAACAAAACAAATAATACAATGATATAATATTTTTTATTATATAATATATTTTATATCACACTCATAAATGTATAGTAAAACAAAAAGAGCTTAAATTATAATCCAAATAATTTAACTTAAACTTCAAGCTGTCTTAAAACTTGGATTTTGTTAAAGATTATATGTGGTTAATTTATTATATCAATAAATATAGTTAAATACATTTTTAACTTTTGTATTTTTGATATTGTTACCCCTTCGAGAGAAAAAAATTTTAGTGCTATTTGTTTTAATGACTTTATTGCTACAGAAAGTTTTCCTTTTTATTTATTGATTAATTTTGAAAATCACTTTTTAGTGGGTAACACTGTTGAAATCCATTAATTTGCTTTAATGTCTACTAGTCATACTCTCAAAAAACAATTACTGTTTTCTTTTTGACAAAACTGTGTTTGGCTTTAAACAAATTTGTTGAGAGTTTTTGGTATTATAGTGCACATTTTAAATAATGAAACATAAAAATTAAAATTAAATAAGTAATTGATTAAAAGTTAAAATTAAATGTTTAATAGTTTAATACAGTTATAATAACAGCTCTGATCAATTCCTCAACATAAACTACACAAAAATATTGTAAATATTTAAAATATATATATATAATTTTTACTCTAAATTTTACTCTAAATAAATTAAACTAAATAAATATTATAAATTAAATAAACTAAATTTTACATTTTTTTATTTATATATTTACGTGTGTTAACAATTTTAATAATTTTGTTTTTACTTCATTATTTTATAAAACATACCTGCAGTCTCTAGTATAGTCTTCGCATAGGTAAAAGAAATGTACAAATCTAAAATATCTACGTTGTGGTCGCGGTCGAGCTACGTATACCAATACATGTTCAAATACAATCCAATTTTGATTTAAATAATACATCCAAATGATTGAAAATGGAACATGTACAATGTAAACATTTATAATAGGTTTAAAATCAGTTATATTGACAGTTTACAAGCAGAACTATATTTAATTGTTATCTATAACTACATATATAAGCTTATGAACATTAAATACATATCGAAGTGTTAGTCAAAATCAACAGCAGTCTTGTTTTTTTATAATAGGAAGCAATTATTAGTTGTTAAATATTTAATAGAACAACCATTAAGACGTTATTATTGTAATTATAATAATTAAATATCGCATTATTAATTTTGATCGTATATTTTTACAAAATAAGATCAACATGGACTTTAATAATATGATAGTTAATATTATATTATTATATAATAATAATTCGTCATTATTATAAAACCAGCTAAAATGTTGATATAAAATTCAACATTATATTTTTGAATATAGTATATTGTAATGATATGCTATTTAAGCTATCATACATTATGTAAAATAAAATATTATGTAATGTAAATAAATCAAACAATTAATAACGGGAATGATAGTTAAACATTTACATCCGATTCCATTCATTTTTCTTNAGATAATACTTAAGTTATCATATATAATTAAAATAAATTATATAATCAATGTTGTAAAATAATTATAATAATTTGTAGCCATTAATTATTAGATTAAGTTGTTAGTATTAACCAGATTAAGATAACACATTTACACACGCACACACACATAGATCTCCAGTTATAAGGAGGCCGGCCACTTCTAATCACAACTACAGTGTATGTATTGTTCCCGTTGCTTTTGGACAGATGATCACAAGCGAATGTAAAAGACTACGCAGAGATTCTTACAAAAGCACGGGAAACCTAGAACAGTGTTTTATATTTTAAAAATTATTAAAAAAGAAACAGTTGTTATATTAAAATCTTTTTATTTACTACGGTCACCTTTATCAAATTCAACAGATCAATTTGCCGCCTGAAGAAGAAAGGTAATCAAATTTATAATTAACTTACACGTGTGAATCAATTTTATATAATTAGGCACACCCGCTATATTTTCGAATTACAACAATATAATAAAATGTATACAATTTTTTGTAGTTTTGAAATTTGAAAATCAGCTGAGAGATTCGTGGAACAATGAAATGGAATTATATATTATTTTGAAAATATATACCACAACACATAAATGAACTTATAATGACACCAAAATACTTAGGAATTCATAAAGTGGATAGAAAAATTATCCACAGAAAAAAAAAAATAAAAATAATAAATATCATTGTAAAACCAATACATTCCTCGCGTCGCTCAGAATCTAAAATTATATTTAATGTATCATAAAATAACATTTATCACAATATATACTAGGTACTAAATGCCTGTAAAGTTAGGTTTAAAATCAATAAAAAGTAATTTAAGACTATTTCAGCGCCATTCATAGTCCATGGAAATAACTTTTAGATTTTCTTAAAATTTCGGGAGGGGGGGGGCTGCAGCCCACTCAGACCCCCCCTCCATTAATATACCCCTGGACCGCTGAGTACATTATTCTAAAATCCATATCTCATAAGTCTTAACTAAAATTTATTGCGGAATACATAATTTAATACATAGAATAATAATATGAATACCACGAAACTATACTGCCTACTTATTTATATTAGTCTGCATATTTGAATGATAATGTCTTATTTCATCGTATAATTTGTTTTCCAATTCGATTTCCTACAACCGAATAAACAGAACGTTAATATAACTATACTTTATTATTGTATAGTGAAATAATTGAGTATCTACCTAGGTATATTCATCTAGATAAGTACTCAATACGCAGTACACCCCGTATTACTACGAGGTATACTCGTATTGTGATTGGTTTGAAGGTATAATTGACGAATTCGCCAATGATAACAGGAAATGAATTAATACATTTTTCAATTAGTTAAAATGTACGCACCGATCGGCCTGCACCCGAATTGGCATCGTGCACGCGGTTCTTGATCATTTTGAGCAAGGCGATCAGGTACGCGTGTCGGATAGTCATAATGTCGACCGACTCGGTCTCGACGGCAGACATCGGCACGCGGTCCGGTTCGCGTGACACCATGTCGTTTTCGTTCCATACCTCACCTAATTTCAGCGAATAGTAGTGATAAATGTGCGCCACCGTGGCCTTGTCCCAGAAGTTTGTGGCCAGACCGCAAGCCCTGACGGTGTTTTCGTTGACGTCGCGGTCGTCCGCACTGCCGCCGTCGTCGTCCGAAAACCCCACGGATCTCAAGAGCGCGTAGATCTTCGGCTGGGCGCACAGGTACATCGACTCCACGGCCGGGCTGCGGTCGGCCAACAGGTTTTCCGCGGTTGTCTGCTCGCGTTGCTCCCGGAAAATGTACTCGTCGTCTGAAACATTGCGTTCTATAATTCAAAAAAAGTACCCCAACCGAAATATGTTGTACGAGTACATTGTACGATGTATATACCTAAAAATTCGAATCGGATTTTTTCGCTGCGCCAAATATCGCACGCGAGTTCCACATAACCGTCGCCCGTTTTAGCGGACTTCCATTTTTCAACGCGACGTTTGGCCAACTGGTACCCGGTCAGATCGACCAACATCCCGAGTATTACCAGCTGCACGGGATATTTTACTTTCTGAAAAACAATTCGTAGCGTAAACAGCGTTTGGAAAACGGATACGATTGGTCAAGGCGCGCGTCATGCCATGTTATACAGAGATTGTATGGTTATTTTCATTTTTCGTCGTCGCACGATTGCGAGCGAGTGAAAACGTGCAAACAATAAGGACACAGCTCAAGTATTCGAAATCCAACGATGACGATTTTCGGATTGATATTCAAAATCGATCGATGTCGATTTTAAATGTAAACAATTAAAAACCGTTAGACAATATATTCGGTTGGGTTTCGTTTACGGCCCACTTATATACTATACATTCGGCGACAGCGCATCAATAATAATAATAACAATAATAACAATAATAACAATAATAATAATAACAATAATAATAATAAAAGTAGTAGTAATAGTACATCGCGGGTCTTACGGCCAAAAGGTTCAGTAAGTTTTCGACCCCTCCGGCCGCGACGAAGTGTTCCACTTGATCGCGTTGACGGATTATCGTATTCTTAATGAAATGCAATACGTCCAACAGGACGCTGCGGACACCGATTTCACCAATGTTATTCCGTACGTTCGTTTCTTCAGTAAAAACAATTATTTTAATATTACCTTTGGTCGAATTTTTCGCCGTCCACCTCGTCGGTGAAATACAACTTGACCGTCCGCATTACCGTGTTGAAAACGGTCGTATGCGTCTCCGAGTTTTGTTGGTTTTCTCGGTAAAATATGTTCAGCGCGTACAGCCCGCACAGCCCTACGGTTCGGAAAGCGCGATCGTCAGCATTTAACGTATCCGATACGACGGCTGCACCGAAACAAAACACGTATGCCTCTACTACTTACACGGTTAAATGCCGTATAGACGTGCGCAGAAATTTTTGCTGCAAACACCACACAGAAAATGGACCGTTATCCCCCGAGTGTGCCTTATAACCCCCCCCCTCGCCCCTCTAAAAAGAAATCAGATACAGAACGCAAAATATCAATTCATAATAAAAATCATAACATTTGTTTACTATAATACTACGGGTTTCACGGAAATGTTATTACATATTATCTCAACGTATAGATAACCACGATACAAATTACCCAATATGTTTAATACCCGGTAATACCTAACTATACTAGGGTTACACGCACAGCTAAAATCGTTATAATAAATTATTACATCACTATCAATTTTAAAAACTTAATACCTAATATCATTAATATTACGATAAATCTTGAATCCAATGCAATGCTCAGCAATATCACAGTTAGTGGTTACCAGTTGGTTTGATGGGTTAGTATGAGTTAGCATTTAATTATGAATATAGTAAAAGAAACATGAATACATAAAAATAAAATTAATTAATTAATGCGTCACCTGGAGTTTTATACAACCGGTTTCGAATTAAAAAATCATCATCAGGTATATCACAGTCAAAATGTAAAACGCGACTGAATTTTCAAATGGCAACCTATATTGAAAATTACATAAATACATGGATACATAAATAGTTTACATGCATTTTGGTGTTGAGTTGGAGAAGAGTAGTGGAGTATCATTTGTGTGGCGGTACGGCACGCAGCGAGTTGATAATGCACCACCACTCACCTCCAACCCGAACTTCTGAAAGGAAATCTGATTGGGAAGATATTTTAAAGAGATAATTTTTCGATTTTCCCAGGTGTTTCTCAATAAATGTGGAAAACCGGAAAAAAAACATGGGAAAACCGGGAAAAACGTAGAAAAAAAGGAAAATCGGTACAATATTAAACAAATATTATTAAAGAAAATGCGTAATAATATCTATTTAATTATTTTACCACAATATGACATACATATTATTGACAAAGCATCACTATCAACTTCAGTTCACTTGCAGTTCACTCCACTCAGAATCGTTTTTAGTAAACAACGGTTTATTGTTGCTTACAGATACAAATTAATTTCCCCTCTATATCCTACATTCCCAACTTCTCACCAACAATAATGGCTGCACCCATCGTGCAAAGTATGTCCGTATTTTTTCCATATGTCAATGTAGCTTTAAGAGCATTGTAAGGTTAAGAAGCATTACCCAAATTGCACACAGTTCCCGAAAGAAGATATATAATGCCTATTTAATTATTTCGCCATAATATGACACATTTTTGACAAAGCATCACTATCAACTTGACTCTGTTCAGAATTATTTTTCGATACTTACAGTCATACATTAAATTCCCGTCTGTATCCTACATTCTCAGCTTCCCACCCACGTCCGAATTATGTCCATCTAGGATTAAATTTTTAAATCGCTTGTTTTTTATCTAAATACTATATTAGATACCACAAATCCCTATAATTACTATAACTAGTTAAGTAGTTATAAAATGAATCATAAGCAAAGTCAGAGGCGCAAAATGTTACCCATGGGCGTCAAAATCATAAGTAAGGTCCTGCCTGGCACACCCTGTGCGCACGTCTACGATTATTGCGTGTTATATTATATAATAATAGGTTATTCGGATAATCCCACAGAGAGTGGGGTCACGTACAAATGATCAAAACGTCCGCTTTGAGGGCCCTGAACTTTTGGAGCATATCGTAACTATCATTCAAAACAATCCCGATGCAAATCAAAACGTTGGCCATTGTGTCGGAAAAACGTTCTTGACTGCACGACGTCTGCGACGACTTGATCCAAGTTATCAATCTGTAGCGTTGCACCGGGTACGCGTGTAAAATCAAATGAAATATAGACAACGTTTGACAAAATAAAATCTATAGCCGAGCCTATGCACTGGATTTTTCACGGGGAGGAATGGATGGAATTACGAAAAAACCGTATTAAATGAATCTAAGCACAATACATTTTATAATTTTCCGTTCACAACGCTACTAGAATTTTTCAGAATTAAACTCGCTTTATATTTGATTAAGTCAATACCTTAATCCGTCAATAATTTATAAATGCAAAAAAAAGTCAATGGGAGGGGTTTAAACCGCCGCCCCTCCTTACGCACGGGCCTGTATAATTAGTATGTAATACTGCCATAACAATATACAGTTATTAGATGTCCGTGAAATTGGCCTATCCCCCTTATCGAAAATCGATAAATTTAAAGTATTTCAATGGTAATCAATAAAGATAGGCGTGGATCCAGAGTAATTATTAGGAGGGGACATTTTATACTGTGGATATAATATAATATATAAAATTCAATAATTCCACATATTACAAGTATTAACCATAAATATTTCCTAAGATTGTAAAGGAATAAACCTTCACCTAAAAATTAAAAAAAAACTAGGTAGGCACATTGAAAAGAACACGTTCAATAAATTAGTAAAAACAATTAAGAAATATTAATTTAAATAAAATATAAAGAAAAATCTAATTTTTTCTTTTTTTGGTTTTTGAAAACCTATCATTAACTTTAATGACGTCTACGTCAATATCACGATGAATATTTAAAAAAACAAGTCCAGTTAATCTGGTTTCTGACATAGGTGATCTCAGCCATGTTTTGAGTCTTCGTAGTACGGTAAATGTTCTCTCAGCACTTGCATTGCTTATTGGAAGAGTTGTCAAAATTGTCACAAGACGATTGATTAACGGAAATATGTTTTCGTCACAATTTGCAAGTATTTCCGTAACACACATGGAATTTACCGAAATGTCATCAAGTTTTTCACGGTTCCATTTTTATTTCCGTGAACTCGTAACGTAATAAAGTAAATACCATACCTTTGAAAGAAGTGGTTTAAAATTGTCTGCTAACGCTTTAATAATAATGTCTGATTTATTTTTAATGAATATTAAGCTGTATTTTATTTTATAAACTTGTCAGAAAGTATGTATGAAAGGTTGATGCATTCAAGTATTTTTTTGTGAACAACATGCTTTTAAATCATTAATAACATTATCTAATAATGAAATAATTAAGGATAATTTATAATATTCTTCAGTATTATTGGTTGGATAATTTGCACGATTCGTTTGCCTTGAACAATTCCTTGGAATTTTCAAATCAACTTTTTGAGTTTTAGCCATACCCTCAGACGATTTATAAATTTCTGTAAACTGAGTAGAAACATTTTCTCGGCATTCTGACAGAATATTTAGTGTGTCTTTCATTATATTGGTTGCTACTTGTAAACCAATAGAGCAATTTTTGAAAACATTTACTTAGTGGAAATGAGTAGCTAAGCATATGAGAGAGACTACAAAGATAAACAATAATTTCACTGTCACATAAAATTATTAATGGGGATTAAGCTTTTCCAGAAGTATGCAAGTCTCTCCAAATTTCTAATAATGCATCAATAATTATATGCATATCTTGCATAAAACTCATTACTCCTTCGTGTCCCTCGACCTATCTCGTTTCGCATAAGCCAATCAACTGATGCCCAACATACTTTCTTAAAACAACTGTTCATTTAGCTGATGCTAGAAAAAAATGATACTTTTGACACATTGTGATATGAAATTATTTAGCGAATGATTATAACAGAGGTACCTGCGGGCATTAGATCCTACTTTAATGATTTCACTAACAACTCCACGAAGTTCGTATTCCATTACGCTGCATCCATCAGTTTCTAAACCCACACATTTTTTCAAATCAAGACCAGTACTATTTATTTGCTTGACAATAATTTTACCTAGTACATCTCCAGTTATTGAATATTCTTTTTTCTTTTCACCATTTTTTCCACTTTCCTCTTTATCTTCAGATTCCTCTAGTAAAACCGAAACTTCAATCAAAAGCATCGACAAACATGAAGAAATCTTCTCTAACTGAATCATTATAAATATATTAACTTAAAACCAAACAGATTAAAATGATACGAAACGAAAATATTTATACGGTAGGCCTATAAATGCGGGAGATTACGATATGAGACAACGCCCGGTATCCGTTACGTCCTAAGTCAGCGCAATTATAAAAATTACTGAATTATAAATAGAATTATCCGCAGAAAAATACATTTATTTATTACTATTAAATGTACATAAAAACTAAAAATAACAGTCTAATCTATAAAAAAAATATCATTATATTAATATAATAATTAAATTTATTTTCGTGACATTTGGGGGGGGACCATCGCTCCCATGGCCCATTCTTGTATAAGCGTCTGAAGGTGGGTGGACCAACCTAACCTACATATTATAATATAATAGGTACTCATATAATGTAGGGCACGTCAAAATAAACGATATTATACACGTAAGTACTCAACTGTTTGCAGCAATTGATTTTTACTGAATCGTCGACGGAGTTTATCAGTAAATACGGCAAGTTTGACAACAGTAGGTTTAAAATGACGCGCACGTTTTCTCCGTAAGTTTTTTCAGTGTACTCGACGTTCGACAGCATCATAAAGTCTTTTATCAGAAGCGTGTTCATATGTTGAAACTGCACGCACACAGACACAGAAATACAGTTTAGTGATCCAGACCCTTAAGTTTTAACTGTGTTATTACTTACATTCAATTTGGACGACATGTTTACGAACACTTTGTTGACAATTTCCAACATAATTTTTTTCATTATAAAGCTTTCGTTTATGAAATAAAACCGGACGTCGTGCAGCCAATGCGAAGACAATTTGATTTCTGGCCAAACGCACAACATGACCATATCTGTGTTGGGAGAAAGAAAATAACGACAGTTGCATTACACATATAGGTACCGTGGTAGTCGGTATTACACCTGGCTACCGACTTGTACGTTTTAAAAACGATTTTCTTTTCGTATCGTACCCGTGATTATTTCGTCCGAAAATTCGTGCTCGTCGATGGAACAATTGTCTACGATCTCGCCGAGCGCGTAACAATAATCAGTTCTCATTTTACCGTTTTTTTTAGTTTCGATTTTTATATTGTAAAGCAAGATCCTGTAAACCGTACACGCAAATCGTTTTCAACTGTATTGCGTTCATGCTCGTCAATTATAATATATTTTAATATTTTAAACCCACTCCAGAGTTTTCCGGGTAACCCGCGGCGGTGGTTCGGAATCGGCTCCTCGTTTTCGCCACGCAGAGAACATCTGGTCCAACAGCATGATAACGAATTCGCTCGCAGTTAAACGTTCGTAACTGTTGGCGGGCGCCAATAGTAGATTCGGGTCCAGCACGTCGACGAGTGTTCGGACGCCATCCGACAGCATCATGCGCAGAGCTATACGACAACGGTTTATGTACGGTCATGTACCGACGAAATACTTGAACGTATTACGAATATTTTGTTAATTATTTGCGCGGGCGATGAAAACACTATAATACGGTTATAGTGTACGCGCAAGAACGTATTTTACGGCTCTATTGAAAGTAATCGGTCCGAAAGATTCCACGGTCAGTGAAGTAATTTAATTAAATATGCCTGGATGTTTAATTAAACGTCTATTTCAAGTTAGGCAAACAATAAAAATAAAGCGTTTTTATATTATTTTAAAAATTCAACTATATTTTCTAATTAATTATTTATTCCAACGATATAAAATTATGACTTCCATACACAGGTTTTTACCTTTGAAAAGTAACATAAACATACATTGTTTAAAATAAAATTGCATACATTGTTTAAATTTCAAATAATGGTTTAGAAGGTAGCAAGTTATTCAAAGATTTGTATCCATACGTGAAGCTGTAGCAAACTTAACAAATTTCAACGGACAATATTTTGTTAAATTTCACTGTCAAGCAAGAGCGCGGCAATGCCAAAAAAAAATTGTTAAGTGTTCCAGCAAAAACCTTCACAAAATAACATGTAACAACAAGTAGTAACTAAAAACTAAAAATATTTTATTCATATTTTGTACTCATACCATATATAATTAGTAATTAGTAATTATATTTATATTATTTATAGTTCAAGTTTCGAAACAATAGTATCTAAGGGCACGAAATTAAAAATATTTTATGTATCTACGTATTTTACATATCTATTAATTATAGATTATTTTTACATATATAAGCAATAAATAAATAAGAAAATACAGTTTAACTTTTAAAATAATAGAAACGTTTCCTATTAATTATTTGCACGATTTGAAATAGGCAATCAACTAAAAGTCTAGGTGAATAGTAAAATCACGCACAAATTAAATTCTTCGACTATTGGCCTAGGCATTTAGTTAACTGCCTGATTTGACTATATCGTCTATATGCTTACGACATACATATTATATATCGTTTGTCGATGTTTGAAAATGATTTAGAATTTGAGGGAAATAATTGAACAGTATTAAAAAAATATGGGGGCGGGGGAATCAATATTTCAACGGTATACTGTAATAATAATTATAGCCGTTGTTTTACCCGATCGGTCGGACACGACTGCGATGTTATACGATAGTTTCAACAGGTCATCGAGAAAAGTTTGACTGTTGCGATCGTGATGGCCGATACACTGCATCAGAGTCACCGGTAAATCGCTATTTTCCAACGCTTCGTAACAGCACGGTAAGCTAACCGAGTTTTCGGGTACGTGTTGACGTCTGAGCACAGACGATTGGACTACGCTGAACGCAATCATACAGAGCTCAGTGTGGTCACGGACCGACTCGATGCATTTGCCTTTTAAAATTGAAATAATCATTACCATAAGCGAAACTAGAGCGATGCTAGGGGGTCTTTAGCCCCCGAAAATTAACCCAATAAGCGTTTTCATTGTTATGACTAATTATTTTATCCACGTATTTCATAATTAAAGAGCAAAACAAACTACGGATTTCCTACAGATCCATGTAATTATATGAAAAATAATGTCATAATGGTTATGATAAATTTCTATATACAAAATTTTAAATGAAATACGTAATCGCTTTTTGTAAGAATAGTGTAAAGGCATAGCCCCCCTCCTGGGGGGGTTTTGATGTATCCATAATTTCGGCACCGCCAAAATTCGTAGTCTAGTTGCGTCTATAATTATTACAATTACTATTGTTCGTTACGTGTTTTGTGTAAGTGCAACGTGATGTCACGTCGAAAATATTCAAATATATAGCTTTAAGTTTATGATATCACGAATGAATATTACCCATTATGTCGTAGAATCGCGTTAACGTCGATAAGTTATTCGAACATTGCGTAATGTTTTTTACGGTGGGTGGCATCAAGCACAGGACCAACATCCTTTTCAGATAATACACGTACTTCGGTTCGGACGCAAAGTTTTCCGATAAATATTCGATTAAATCGTTTGCGTAGAATAAATGTTCGAGCGACTATATTATCATAATATAATAACAAAATATAATGGATTATAATAATAGGTATAACCTATAATACGAAATTTATCCATAAATATAATATGGATATATTTTAGATTTTGAGTGAAGCGAAGAAGTTTTATGGTTTTACAAAGATGTTTTTTTTTTTTTTTTTATCTGTTAACAACTCTTCTACAATAAAACTTGCTCAGATTTCTAAGTATAGCACCTTTTCTAAAAGGAAGGGGGAGTGGTACTTTTTTAAGGAGGTCATTTTTCGATTTTTCTCATAAAATTTAAAAACCGAAAAAAAAGGGAAAATGTACTTAATATATTACTATTTTTGTTTCCTGTGTACAACTTTTTAACCAGCAATTTCACTCAAATTTTTATGATAGCAATGTTTCTAAAAGAAAATTTCACTAGGGAAGTACTTTAACGAGGTCATTTTATGATTTTCTCAGAAGTTTTCCCAGTAAATGTTAAAATAGCATCTCACGTATTCGCCTGTCAGACTTATCAATTGTCACGAATATCAGAATATGTCAGTATTATACAATATTATTTATATTAATTTCGGCCCTCTGTCGACCTGATCATATAATATTTAATATGAATGTGGCTTACGAAACTATTGGCGGACAATCTTATTATATTTTCGATGAACATGCATATTTTAAGCCGATTGACGAGATTGTTTTTCACGCACCACGAACTTTTTCGAAACAAATAGTCGAGGTTATTAACATTTTTGATTGGTTTAGAATTGCCACTGCACGCTTCCATTTTGTTTAATGTTTAAATATTGCAAATACAATAATATTATTTTATTATAATATTAATAATCAAACTGAATAACGTGAAAGGACGTAAAAATAAACAATGGATAAACATTATTATACACGTAGGTATGTCTATGTAACATGGAAACATATAATCGATACAACTTTACTATAATGACTATTGCTATGAGTTTTGGAAAAAAAAAAGCAAGTGAATAAAAAGCATATGGAAAACAAGGCAAGTGGCAAAAAAAACAATATATTTATTATACACATTAAAATATAAAAAGTAATATAATTGGTTAGTACTACATATTATATAATACCATACGCCATTATTACACCAATTATTTTTGTGAAAACATTTAAAATAATATTAATAATATTAAAAAAAATATCATTGAATATATATTATAATCAATGGTATTTAAATGTTGAGTGTAGGTACCTATTATGTGGTACTATATAACACTATGTAGTACTAACCAATAATATTACTTTTTATATTATAATGTTTAAAATAAATATATTGCTTTTTTTTCCGAACCCCATTACTGTACATAATGGAATTTAACTTTTTTATTCAATATAATTTGTATAGTATTTAGTTTTATCGTTATTGTAATAAATAATAAACATGTATTTCTGTACCATCCGAGAATATTTCGACGGCGGAGGTATCGTTAGAGATACATTTAAAAAAAAAAAGCCGATACTGGGAAAGTGGGATACATAAAATTATTTAATTTATACCTGTAACCAACGATAAATCATTAATAACGAAAAACAATTCGGAGTGAAATTCGGTTAGACATGGTTTTAAAGGTCGTAATATTTACGATTTTCGTCAAAATTTAATTTTAATCATTAGAAAAGTCATCATTAGAGATCAGAGGAAAAGTTTCACGCGTTCAACGAGGCTACCAGTCTGCTTAAGTTATGGTTTGGTGGGGTGTGTCATTACATGGTGTTACACATTCATTTCTGCAAGAAAGGGGTTAAAACTGGGGCTCGTGTTTATCAGAAAAGCGTCTTAAAGCCTTTAGTGAAGCCTCTTAGTGATTCGTTGTTCGAAGGAATTGATTGGGTTTTCCAACAGGATTCGGCGCCTGGCCATAAGGCAAAAACAGCGCAATAGTGGCTTGAAAACAATGTTCCAAATTGTATAAAGGCATCTGACTGGCCCTCTGCAAGCCCGGATTTCAACCCGCTTGATTATGGATTATGGTGTATTTTAGAAGAGAGAGCTTGTAAAAAACGACACACAAATGTGGAGTCACTAAAGCGAAGCATTGTGAAGGCAGCTGCAGAAATCTCCCTGGAGACTATTCGTACGTGTATTGAACAGTGGCCAGAAAGATTACGTCGTTGTATTGAAAACGAGGTTAGGGCATTTTGGGTAATATATATATGGTTTAAATTGTAATTATGTATACTTTATAAATATATTTATTAAATTTCCGTACAATGTGTTGTTCTTGAGTATTATACGTTTAAAGTACTGACAGTATTTATGTCTAGACTAGGCATTATGTCGCTTATTTTTTATTTTTAAAATTTTAAAATCAAATGTTGTCTAAAATTGTAACGGCCTTTCAAAACATGTATCAATGAACTTTCCTATGAATCGTTTTTCATTAGCAATCGTTTATAATTGGTAAATTTTACCAGAAACCTTACTCCGATGTATCAAGTATAGCTTATTTTAGATAGCACTTTTTCTAAAGTAAATCTGACTGAGGATGTACCTTTTTGATTTTAACCTTTATTCATTTTTCGATTTTCTCAGCAAATATGAAAAACCGGAAAAAACGGTACAATATTAAACAAAAAATATATAATGCCTATTTAATTATTTTATCAAAATATGACATATATATTGTTGACAAAGCACCACTATCAACTGAACTGCGCTCAGAATCGATGTTTCGTTAGCAATGATTTGTCGTTGCTTACAGATATACATTAAATTACCCCTCTAGCTAATTCCTTTTTAACTTCTCACCTACAACAGTGGCTGCACACACGTGCGAAGTATGTCCGTCTTTTTTTAGTAGTTATTTTTTTAATATTACATATTAATTTACAATAAAAATGTTATAGTGTGATACAATGGTTTTTTTAATGTGTTCAAATTGTATGTATTTTTTGCTTTATATTTCGTTATTAATTTTAATTGTTTTTAAAATAGTTCGAAAATGTACTGAAATATTCATTTATATTCTTAAAATCCTAGAATATACATTTAAAATACAAAGTCACAAATTGTGCAAAAATATGCAAAGTAAAAATAGTATTATTTGATACGGTATAACATGAATCGAATTTGTATCCAGGTCAGCATTTCATTGGATAAACAGAAAAAAAATATGCAATTTCATAAACATCCGAAACCCTAATATTATTACAATAACACGTTTCTATGCATTGTTCCAAATAGTTTGTTGATTTGTTTTTGTTTTTTTTTCTAAAGCGTTATTTTAACAATAAAATGCCGTCGCCCGGAGGAGAATTATACGACCACGTTCTCAATGAAGAACCCGACGACTACGTCAATCAGAGACAGTGTCGTCGATGCTCTCCGAAGCCCAAACGCTGTCCGAACAAAGGAATCGAAATTCTCAGTAAAACTAGGTGCAACTCATCTGCGCTGCAGTTGATCGCGCTTGCTATCGGCATCGCTCTGGTATTCGGACTTTACCAAAGTTACGGACATTATTGGACCGAAACAGCTTCTGTGGAGCGGCCACAGGAAGTCCCCGAATATTGTCCGTACTGTTTATTTGTGAAGAAAATTAAATTTTCCATATGGTACGTGTCAGCCCGAATCCGCTCACGCGTTTTCAGCCGTTGTAACGGTTTTAATTCTATAAAGTCACGGCCCTTGTGTCCGGCGTAACGTCCAGTTGGAGCGTTGCAATTGGCTCCGTGCTGCTGTGAATACAGGTTTAAATTTCAGTAACACACCGATGAAAACTTGTTACACACACGATTAAACATGTACAGATACACAATATATTGAAAATTACGAGTCAATAAAAATGCAGTCAAATACGTGTGTAGGACTTAGGTACAACAGTGCTTTCGACTCGTGGCTCCTTTTTTTAATATTGAATATCTCATGGAATCAATGGATGTCTGGCTTTTTACCCAAACATTTTTTTTTATAATTTATATACTAAATATGATAAAACATCCAATTTATTAAAACAAGTAACAGCGGAATAATTAAAATATTAGTACCTACAGAGTCTTAATAAGAAATATGTATTATTTGTATTAACATTTATATTTTTTAACAGTTTTACTGTGCAACATGTCTAATTTCTATATACCAACCAGTGTTATTGTTATTTTTTTTAACTTTATCAGCTATACTTTCTTAATTAGGTACTATTATGAGATTATGATTACCCATTTCTTATGTAGGTTAATAAGTACTATATTGCACTATGCCTAATTTTATATATAATTCAAACATTTTTTTACACTGTGTATTTATCTCTTTAAATTAATATATTCATTCTAATTTCTAATATTAATTGAATAAATATATCTTATATACTCATATGAGTTATGCCTTAGGCTGTGAGCTAGTATCCCGGTCAGTACATTCCACGGAGTGGTGCTGAAAAACGATGTACTACCTGATATTTGTATTGAAAAAAGTTTACAAAAAAAAATAATACAAATATAAATACAAATTATTATGGTACAACCACGGTTATATTAGGTGGTTACTAGGTGGTTCTGGAATACCGGCAGGAGGCTGTCTGTGTAATGCTATTGTGCAGTATTTTGCTTAAAAAAAAATTATAAACAAAATAATCGTCCATCAGAAAAAACTACGTACTAACTTAATAATATTTGTATTGAAAAAAAAATACAAATTATATGGTAAAACTGGACATATTATGTGGTTACCAAGTAGTACTGGAATATCTGCAAGCGGCTATCTGCGTAATGTTTTTATGCACTATATAGTATTTAGTTTAAACAAAATGACGAAAAACGTCGTATCTACCTAATAATAATTGTATTGAACCAAAAAAAAAAATACAAATTATGTGGTAGTAGGTATGACCACAATTTCATAACAATATACTACCTAATTAATAAAAAAAAAATACAAATTTTATCACAGAAAACATTGTAACATTTGAATATTATATTTTTTCAAATATTTGTTAGTTATTTTTAAAAATTTTACAATTTGTGTATAAAACTTTATTTGCACTTGCAAACATTAGTCAAATGTTTAACAAGCGTCAAAATCATGTTTTTAATAAACTATTAAACATAACATTATACAACATAGGTGGAGAATATTCGACCGCATAAAGCATTCTGATCGAATCTATCATACTTGTTTAAATCATGTGACTAGTATTTTATTTTTTATTATATTATAATGATGGTTGAGGTTTCAGGATTTGTGTCATATTTTTCAAGATGTTTTAGAGTAGTTTTAATTTTATATATAAATAATTGAAAAATAAAGATATCTCAATTCTGATTACACATTTTGACACTCGTGCAAATAATATAGGACTACGGGAGCCGCCTACACCAAGCTACTCCTAAACTTATATTATTGTAACAATGAATATTAAATATTCAAATTTTGAATATTTGAAATGTCTATAAAATTGCCTATGTGTAGCCCCTTAAATACCAGGATATTAACCGGTCGGCTTCCCAGCGACCAAATTCGACGGTAAACGAGGGCACGACAAGTTATCCGCATAGATAATAATAATTCATATAAAAAAAATACTACATTAAACTCAATTCTTTCTTCCTAACCACTAAGTACAACTTATAATGATCTTCCCGTTAAATTTTAAAGCATTTCTGTTTGGTTTAACCATTTAATCCACAAAGTAACTACCGAATAAATATTACGTAAAAAACTCTAGTCTCTCAAAATTAAAATACACCGTTGAATAACTAAAATAATTAAATAGCTCAAACATGACTCAAATGTTTTGAAATTTTTTAATTTTTATTATTAAAATCCGTTAATTCATTTTATTGCCTTCTCTCACAAAAAAATAACTGTGTTTGGCTTTAAATAAATTTGTTACGAATATTTTGTATTATAGTGCACATTTGTAAACTATGAAACATTAAAATTAAAATATAATAAATAATAGAGTAAAATTTAAAATTAAACGTTTAATATTTGTATACAATTATAATAATAACAAATAATATCAGCTCTGTTGAATCCCTCAACAGAAACTACAAAAAAATATTCTTAATATATAAATATATATAATTTCTAGCGCTTTAAATGTATAAAAACTATCTAGGGGTTAACTTAGGTAAATAGGTATACAGTATATGGTACCTATAATACATAATTGTTATAATGAACTAAGATATAATTATTGATAATAAAATAAATAATCTTCATGACCCTAGAACTAAGTTTAATGGCTATTAAAAAGATACAAATTATTTTGATTGCTTTTTTTTAAATTAATTTGATTAAATACAGCTTTTGATTTTACTACGTGGGCATTATTATTACTCCAAATACCTGAAAACAACGACGGAATAAATTTCGAGAATAATTTTTATTTTGTTTAATGCTCATTCATTATTCGCTAACTCACTTTGACGCCCAGTCTACAGCTTTCCCGCCAGCTTGTCGTTTGCCGTTTCTGTTCTTATCGTTTAAGCCACCGGAAACTTTGCTCACTGGTGGAAACGAGTCATTTCTCATGTTTTTCGACATAGTCCTGTATATATGTATACAGTCGTAATAAGTCTTTTTTTATGAATAGAAAAAAAAATAGTGCCATTCAATAGGTATTTTCTAAACGTATTAGTAAGTATCTATAATTGTTTACAAACTATTGTGATATACCCACTAGTGAGTTCCAAGTCAATTTTTGGTGGGTCACGAAAATTGTTTTGAATTATATAGATTCCAAGAAATTTATATTATGTATGTTTTTGGTTTTACAGTTAATGATGTTTATTTTATTTTTTTTTGTCTGTGAAGGTTAGGTAAAGTACACAATATGACCACATAAACAAAAATTAATTTAAATGGAAATTGTACTCCAATTAAAGAATTTTTGATTTATATATATGTGTGTGTGTGTGTGTTATACAGGGTGTCCCACAAAGATACCCATTGAAATATCTCGGAAAATATTAACTTTTTTCAGAATTTTTTTTTACAAATTTACGAAATAAATAGTTCTAAAACGTTACATTACTTTTTCACTCTTATTTTTGGGGAAGAGTGGTGGGGCACTATACAAACCATGCACGCTTCCTGCCACACAGATGCTGCTCCACCACTCTCCATCCACCTGAACTTAAAACGAATACCTCGTGAATGGCTTGACGGAGATCAAAAACTTCAATGCCAACAATTATTTTAACTAAAACTCTTTCTATTTAAGAAATGTTCAATATAGGTCGTCACTTGAAAATCAAAAGTAGGTAGCCGTTTCCCTCCCAAAAATAAAAGTGAAAAAAAGTAATGTAGCATCTAAAACTATTTGTTTCGTAAATTTTCAAAAAAAAATTCTGAAAAAAGTTAATATTTTCCGAGATATTGCAATAGGTATATCGTCGTGGGACATTCTGTAATTAAGGGTTCCGATCGTTTTGTCTAAAATATACTAAATAGTCGTTCACTTTTATTCCGGCCAAAATAAACAAACATCTATTATAAAAATAATTATGCGTTGTTTACTATTTATACTGAAAGCAACGATAAATCAATAGATACAACCGAATAATGATATTGAATGGTGCTCGGTTATCTGATAAGGGGTTGGTCATGTTTTTTCCCTAGTGGTCAAGATAATCCAAAAATCAGCAAAAGAAAACCATTTATCGAAATTTGTTGTCAATTGTTTTAAACAATTTAGATAATATGTTTGAATATTTAGAACAGATTTCAAACAAAATACCGTAGGACAAAAATTCACATATTTTTATGTACCTACGATGCTTAGGGTACCTGTAATGCTAACGATTTGGGGTATTTACTATTTTTACTAACAAAATGTTTAAGAAAAAGAAACTTGGTAAAAATGATAGCTCTTTCACTAGATCTAAGTATAAATCTAGTACCTATTTATAGTTTTTAAGAAATACTGCTATTTAATCCAAATAATACAAATTATTATATACCTATAGGATTCGTAAAAAAGTCTCAAATTTAGAGAAGAGGTTATAATCTCCTGGTTGCGTCACTGAATATTATTATAATACCTGAGAGTTTTAATATTATTTATCACATTTATTTTAAAAACAAATATGTGTTACCATAACTTATAGCTTACAAATTTCACACCTATTACACTAGTATAACTAGTTCGAGAGAACCAAAACCTATATCAATCTAAATAATTTGAATACAATTAATATAAAATAAACCTAAATAAACAGACAATTATACGGTAAATAAAAACTTAGACATTCAAGTTGTTTTTCTATATTTCAAGCGTTATTGTTAACATAAAACTATAAATGTAAATGTCTGCAGTAATACAAAATACATTGCGGCATATATCATGTTAATCCACCTAGGTATTGTCTTTCCGATATTTTTATTGTCGTATTAGAAACAATTTTCTAGAATCTAAGTAATGTTAAGTGAAGTTACGCGTATAATTTTATAGTTTAGTCGCCATTCCCTTCTGGCTCTCCCCTTAACACTATTACTACTATCTCTCCCTCGTCGGTATTAAAAATCCTAAAACACCATATAAATATAAAATAGGTATTTAGTATAAACTACGTTATTGAATAATATTATATTATTTGTATTATTTTACTCGGTCTCGGCTGCTTGGAGATTTGAAGCTCTGCCTGTGACATATCTGGCCACAGACAAATAATGTTGCTTGGCGCTCAATTTCTTCTTGTTCAACACCACCACATCCGCGTCCCCGTCGTACCACGTTTTGTCCTTATTGTTCGTGATCGGTTTATTGTTCACCTGCAACGTTTCCCATTGTTTTTCGTATCTATAAAATTCCACGCGTTCAAAATTTGGTTAGCATAATCGAGTATACTAAATTATTAACTATACACTGCAGGTAGTGCCGTGAAAAACGATATATTCTAATAATATTATACTGACTTAATTTGCTTGTTATTATTAGTTTGAAGGAGCGAAATTTGAGATTTCATTAACTGCACAGGCTGTCTTTTTTGATGACCGATCTTCGCGTAGGTCACTTCTCCTGAGTCCTGATTTAAACGCTGATGTCCTACTTGGAAGTAGGGTTGTCTAAAACAAATATTTGTTGTTATTAAGATTACAATAAATTAAATGACTTAAGGGTTTCCATTTAATTGATATTAATTTATTTAAAAATTCACCATTAGGTACGGAACAATAACTAATAAATTGGTCTTCAAGTACCTACCTCAAAGCACTTTGTGCACTTGGCCTTCTAATCGGATTCCAACTAAGTAGTAGTTCCATCAAATGTATTCCATCGCGACTAGCGTTCGGTACAACCGTGTTAAGCGCCAACCGCTTAAATTGAGGGAACTTAAAATTCATAGCCGATGCCAATTGGTAACCTTCAAACCATTCTTTCTAGAATAAAAATAGTTTAAATAAGTATCATTATTATATACATTTTGTGATGAACCGCATACTGAGAGGTATGAATACATGGGTCGGTAATTACTAATTAAAATGTATGAAATGTAGTGCTGAGATGAACCAATTCGGATATCGGTATGTGTGTTTAGATTTAGCCACCAATATGGAAATATTTGTTAGGGATTTTCGATGAAGAAGTGTGAACCTATTGCCATAAGTTAATATGCCATTATTGGCATATTAACATCTTATAAACTTAAAAACAAATTATTGTGTTATAGAAACAATATTACTTATTTATTATCTTTGACTTAACAGTTGATATGTTGAATTAGAATAAAATTTTTTTTTAAAATACTTTGGTAAATCATCTCGAGGGGTGGTAACTGCCTACCCTGCCACACCACCCCCCCTCTCCCCCAGGAAACGTTTTTTTTTTTTTGATAAATATAACATTAAATGTTTAAAATAACGAAAAATAGACGTCCTAAGATAATGAGGACGTAAGCAACGATAATCCATTGCTTACGAAAAAACAATTCTGAGCGGAGTTCAGTTGATAGTGATGCTTTGTCAACAATATATGTTATAGTAATATAATAAAATAGGCTTTATTTTCTTTAATAATATTATTTTACGCTGTACCGATTTTCCCAATTTTCCTACATTTTTCCCGGTTTTTCACATTTTCTGGGAAAACTCCAGAGAAAATCGAAAAATGACCTCTCTAAAGTATCTCCGCAGTTGAGTTTAGGAAAAAACAGCAAGTGGTAAACAAAGCAATATATTTATTTTACACATAATAATATAAAAAGTAATATTATCGGTTATTACTACATATTACATAGTACTATACACCATCTATATGGTACCATAATATCTACACAATATTTTAATACTATTGACAACATTTTTATAACATATTCAATGATAATATTTTAAAAATTTTCACAAAAATAATTATCGGAAAAAGTTATCGAAATCGAATGTAAAATTCTTAAACGCTGTAGCATATCATATACGTTTTACATGAATACATTTTTTTAGGTGCCTACATATTTGTTTACACTCCATATATAATATCCATGTGCATGCATCATTTATTTTATTTATGATTTTGAAAATTTTACCATGTCTAGATAAGTCAAATATAAGTATTATTACCAAATCTCTACGTGTATTTAACCGAATTACAACAAAAAACTCAAAAAAATTAAAATTCCTTAAAAGCTCAAAAGTGGCTAAAAGGTTTTGACAATAATACCATAGGAAATTAAATTAAAAAGGCAACATAAAAGGTATCTTGAGATTTTTCGATTAAATCATTTTTTCTGGAAGAAAACGTCATCCGTGTTCTTATATAATAATAAAATCGTAAAATTGTACATTTTTCTACGTTTTTTTCCCACTTAAGAGCTTTTATTTAAAAAATGACGTCGTAAATCAAAAAATTACCTAGAGTACCTAAAGTACAATATAGAAAACTTGAGCTTTTAGAAAAGGTGCTACACGTAAAAATCGGAGCAAGTTTACTTGGAAAAAACGTGTCCACAGATTAGAACAAAGAAAAAAAAAATAAACAGCATTGTAAAACCAATAGCTCCCTTACTACGCTCGGAATCTAAAATAAAAATACGCATCATAGTAAAATCAATAGATTCTTCGCTCCGCTCCTAATCTAAAAATTACTATAATAAATTCCAATTACTTTTCTACCATTAAGAAACATTTTATACCCGCATCTACTGTCTCAGTCCAACTACCGGGTAACATGCAAAAACAATGTTTACGCAGAATAAGTAAATCTAGCTTAATTTTTAATTTTAGGATTAAAGTACCTTTTATGAAGTTTATAGAGAACAATATTTTGAAGTAAATGTCATAGGGTTTTTGTATTATTCAAAATATATAGCTTAATATAAAAGATACAAAAATCTTTCTTTTTTTTTTTATGTTTTTATATAACTGTAACTTTATTAACCGTTCATAATTTAAAAAACAACTATAACATTTCCTGCAAAAAAACTTATGTAATGAACATTCTGTAAAATTGACAAGCCATTGACAAGCATTTCTGTTCTAGCGTAACAATTATTTTCGCATAATAGGTACCTACTAAAAAAAAAACTATGTAAAAAATTAAAAAAAAACTCGCAAACATAAATGCCTATAAATAGTTCAAAAATCTCCAAAATATGCATTTCTTGTCTAAATAAGGCAAGTAAAAGTTTTCATTCAAAATGTCAATTCTGTATTCTTGTGCAACACAGAACACAACACAAAACAATTTATTGGAGTTTCGTTTAAACAAAATCGATAATAAAACGATAATTAATGACTGTTACTTTATTGTATTGTATATTACCCATATAGATATAGGTACCTATTTACCTACTCAATGTAGTAACAGTAATTTAAATCAATAGTGTTTATGGTAGTTATATAATGATGATAGCAAACGGTTATTAATAAATAATTATTATTGTGTATGGCATTATATTATTTTTGTATTCAACGAGTCCCGTACATTTGCCTGGAAACGCGAGTTTTCCTCTCGCGGTTAAAACGTCAGCCTTTCAGTAAGGTATACTCGATATAATCACGCCACATTACATGTATTTCAGTGTACACCCACGTCCCATATACACTAACCCCCCCTGGAAAAACGTTCCCAGAAATCATGCTAAGTAATTTCAAGCACGAATATAATAATGCCGGTGTATTTTAATGACAATAATACTCTCTTAAAATAACAATAACTCAAATACCATAAAATATAATGCGTTTTTAAAACCGTATACTAACAGAATAGCGTGTTATCGCAGTTTGAGCAACAATTTTTGATTACGTTTCATTTAACGTAAAACAAAATGAAATAATAGCTATTATGACGGTGGTTTTTTTTTTATGTATCAGACAATTTAATTTTGCAACAGAGAAAAATTGAATGGGGGGGACAAGTCAAATAAAATCGTCAACCTTTTTTTTTATTATTATTATAACCAGATATAAATTATATGTTTTTATAGTCTTATTTTGTAATTTTATCGTTGTTTATTAAACAGTATATTATTTTTTAGTCATAATATTTACACATATATTAAGTGTGATGTAATATGAACGAAATTAATTTATAAAAGTTTTATAGTCTTTTATAAATTTTTATAGTGACCAAATTTAAATAAAGTAGCTAAGCTCCGTACTTGATTTTAAAAAAATGGAAGGTTCCTAGACGGTTTTCACTAAAAATAATTTTAAAAATGTAACTGTAATAGGTACTTTAAAAATGATTGCGGATGAAGATATATCCTTATAAGTAGGTGTCTACCAGTGGTGTCCCTATTGGGAATGCTATCCGTATACTCTCAAAATTGTATTGAAGAATCACTGTACACTCTAAAATAGTTATTAAAAAAATAAAAATAAAATAACAGTATAAACTGTATAAAGATATAACCATAGAAGCAATATAATAAATATTTTTAATTATTAAATTGATGGGAACACCATTGCAGGTATCTACCTATTATACTGTAATATTATTATGTTCATATGCAAATTTTGCATAACGAGTTAAAAAAAAATTTCAAACTACTATGATTGCCAACACACACGTATCCGATGATAAAGGTAAGCCATTTAGTATTTCCGATCACTGTCATAACCCAATTCCGCAGATAATTGAATGTAAAAAAAATTTAAAAATGTCAAAAAAAGAAAGGCAACTGAGACTAACGATACACCAAGTTCTATATGTCAAGATTCAATTTCACAAGTGGAAAATATTATAGCTTCTCAAATTTCAAAATGCTCCGCTAAATCAATTGTAAAAAACCAAAGAAAAAAAAATATCAAAGAACCAAACCACATTTCTGATTATAATGATTTATCTGTTGATAATTGAGTGGAAAGAAATTTTTAAATAAAACGAAATGATAACTATATCATGATTTTCACAACAGTTTAAAATTTTAATTATTTAAAGAATTCACAATTTTGAATTTTAAATGGAAATTTTAAATCATGTCCTAAACTTTTTAAACAATTTTATGTAGCGCACGGTTCAATTTCGCGAGATGGAAACGAAATGATATTCCCATTAGAATTTGCATTAATGACTGGAAAATATGAAGATTTATATAATATTTTATTTTCTAATTTAAATCAATTTTCTGAAGAAAATGGAATCTTTTTTAAAGAAAATAATAACCAATTTCGAACAGGCAGCAATTAATGCAATCAATAACGTATTTCTGTTTGGAATCCATTTGGCATGTTTTTTTCATTTACAACAGTCGATATATCGTAAGATCCAGAAGCTGAGTTTGGTTACAAAGTACCAAAATGTGTTCGAGTTCAATTTTCGAGTCCGCAAAATTACAAGTTTAGCATTTTTTTTCTTCCGGAGAATGTGAAGGAAACATGGGGTATTTTAAAATTTGAATTTGAGGGCGATGTAATTGATCTAGTAATATATTTTGTAGAAAACTACGTGGTTGGAAAAATTAGAATGAGGTTTAGAAAAAAAGAAGCAATGTGTTACGACCATGTTTTCCAATTGAAATGTGGCTAGTACATAATCGAATTGTCAACGAAATGCCAAGAACGTCCAATTCAACAGAAGGTTGGCAAAACAAAATAATCGTTTATTATCAACACACCTTGGTATACATTCATTTATCTCCAAAATTCAAAAAAAAAACAGCATTAACCGGTTTAAAAAATACCAAATTTACCAGATTTTTGTTTTTTTAAATAATTGTAGAGATCTGAAATGTTTACAAAAGACTTATATTAGCATTTTTCAATAGTGATACAATTTTCAAAACGTTTTGGCTGATTTTTGGGGCCACTTATAGGCATTTGATTTTTTGGAGTATTTTGTTTTTATTTGGTTTAATAATACGATAATAATACGAATAAACTTAAATATAATCACGCGTAATAAAATGCAAACAATTATTATTTCGCCTGATTAAATCAACGTTGAATTAATGATTCTGCGACGGTCTTGGTTTCCAAGTAAAGGGAGCTTATCACGTATCCGTTCCCTCCCCATGCGCCTGCACGTCACGCAATCGTTGTATTATTTTTACTCGGTTGTATTTGTATTACCTTTTCGGGCGTGCCCAGGACCGAACATATTTTAAATATCTGGTCGATTTCGCTGGTGCCCGGAAACAGCGGCCTGAACGTGTACAGCTCGGCCATTATGCAACCGACGGCCCACAGGTCGATCGGCGTGCTGTAGTTGATCGAGTGCAGCAGCACCTCCGGGGCTCGGTACCACCGGGTGGACACGTAGTCGGTGTACGGTGGTCGCGACCTCGTCTCCCTGGCCAGCCCGAAATCGGCGATCTTGACCAGCTCCGGCCCACAGCACAACAGGTTCTCCGGCTTCATGTCCCGGTGGAAGAACCCGTGTCTGTGCATGAACGCCAACCCTTGAAATATCTTATACACACGGAATATAAAACAGCGAATTATCACGATTATTTTGTTTTCATTCATTATATATCTGACCAATATTTTTAAATGATTACTCCTTGCAGGTACTTAATTATATAGTATAATATTAACTTTTGATTTTCTAACGGCGATTCTTCCCCCTCCCCCTATCAACACGGGTTTGAAAAAATTATATTTTTCTAAAAATCGGTTTAGGAGTTATAATAGTTAAAATTAATAACATTTAGACCGGTAATGGATAAGTGAAGTGTATTAAATGACACTAAATTTCTAATTCATATCATTTTTAGATGATAACCGTTCCCTATACACTAAACCGGTTTAAATTTTAAACCATTTTATAATTCGTAAATGATATATCAAATATTAGTCCCACGCATAATATTATAAAAATGTGTAGACAAATATTCCATCTTCGAATCTAAATAATGGATATGCAGATTAACGCCATGAAACATTTAGTCTAAAAGGAAGATGGTTCATCGAGAAAATCCCCGTGTCCCGGTGAACCTATTCCCTCTCGAAATCTAATACGACATTGGGTGGCTTGTTATTTGAAAATCAAAAGTTAATATGTGTATTTATACTTTTTCTAGTGTAAATAGGTACAGAATAAGAGTAGGTATAATTTTAAAAACATAAAAAAACTTAAAACGATTCTATGACTGAAAAAAAAAACCAAAATCAATTTTAATCAATATTTTTAAATAGATAATCGTTGGATTGTAATAAACAAAATCGCCTTGTACATCATTAGGTCAAGGGATCTTCAGAGAACGGCATTTTATAAAGTCTATAATAATGTTATACTATCAGCTAATTTCACGCCGGTAGTGTTCGACGTGCCAACTTAATAACGTCGAAATCACGCGCACACATTTTACAGGTGTACCCAACTATCTTAACGATAAAATTATACTTTATTCATTGAACTTCCGGATAAGTATACTTCCTGTCTAGCCACTTTTATAATTATTGTATATCATTAAATGTATAAAATATGATTAGCTTGTATATTACACGTAGACATTAGATTAATAATAATTTTTAGGTACGATAGATTGCGTGTCGACTCAGGTAAATTGCTAATAAGATCGGCTCCTCTATTTTATTTATTTATACATTTTTTTTTTTATAATTTTGACTAGGTTGATAGGAAAAAAAGTAATTTTCTTTTTCCATAAATAAGGTTTTCTTTTACCCGCTTTTATATAAGTCATATAATATCATTCTACGCAGCACGAAAAATAAATATAACAGATGCTCGACCCTGGTTGAAATATTTTCATTTTATCGTGTCGATATCAAATAACTTTTGACTAGATTTTTTAATAATTCAATAAACCTAAACCTGTAATAATAATGTAAACGGATTATGTTAGTAGCGCACGCGGGATTTTTTCGGTGAGTGATGGGGGGAGGGGGGTGTTTGAAATAATTTCCTAGAGAGAAGATAGCACATATTATCGGTACATTATTTTATTCTGTCATATAATAAGAAATTAAGCTACTGAATGTAAAACTTGATTTAAAACAAATTAGTGAAGGAAGACATTTCGGAGATTTTCATGCCCTAACCCATCCCTCCTGTGTGTGCCACTGAAATATGCTAACAAATTATACAATAAAATACAGTGTTATTATTCGATACCTACTGCTTTGTAATTTAGAATAATGGCAAGTTAAAAAACATATGCTTACTTGATAAAGTATGTTTCTAATCGACTGTTCGGGAAAAAATTTACTTTGACTTCGCATTAGCTGATACAGATTTTCTTTCATGTATTCAAATACAAAGTAGAGAGTATCGTTTTCTCTAATAACTTCTCTCAACTTGATTAAATTTGCGTGATTCAATTTTTTCAAAGACTAAACAAATAAACAAGCAATATTAAATAAATTAATGAATTATTAGTTAACTTAATATTCTGAGTTATATTATTATTATATTATTGCTTATAATTCCGCTTTTTTTTTGCTTATTAAATTTTCTTAATATAATTTAGAATAGGTTGTACACTGAGTGAACAAAAATAGTAAACCCGACGAGTACCTTAACTTCTCTCAAATTCATGGCTTCATCCCAAGAATAATATTTTCTTTTCATTCTGTAACAATTATATAGAATAATTTTAAAAAGTAAGTTTGTTTCAAAACACATATCAATAAATACATCATCATGATTTCATAAAATAATAGATTGAATTATGAAATTACCTATGTTAAACAAATAATTACGATTTTTAATTAAATAATTATCATATTTTAAACACTTAACTGATTTAAGTAATCAATAACTATTGATTGTTATCAATACTGAATATGGGAACATTCAATATTTTGTTAATTATTAATGAAATGTCAGCTTGAACATTTTTTGAACAAAAAAACTTTGTGTCGAAAAATAATATTTTACTATGACATCCAGATATTAATATAATAACCAGATAAAATAAAGAAAGTTCAAGAACGTATTTTTATCAATAGAATCTACCTATGTCATATCAATTTATAGTTATGAAAAAATGTCACTTTTTAATAATTATTGAACTACAATATCGACCGTTTCATTCGATTAGAATAAAAACCAATTTGTTAAGTTCTAAATAATTGTGTTGTTGTCTTTAGTTTTCATTATGAGTAAGAACGCTAAAATCACTGTGACGATTGGTCATTAATAGGTGACAAATGGTATGTGGTATTGGTATGTGATAAATGTCATGACTATACAAAAAATAGATACTTGAGATAAGGACATGGGACCGTTTTTATATTTATACGAAAGTGAATTTGATACTTTTGACTTTTGGGTCAAACAATTTTTTTTTAACAATAGTTTCATTAAAACTGTCTATACGCAACCCGTTGAAGCTTAAATATTCGTAAATGTGGGTATACTTATACCAATATTTTATTATTAGGGATTATAGCCTATAGTTGATTCCAGTGTTGATAAAGAACGCGTTCATTTTATTGAAACGAAGGCTGGAACTCGATACGTTTGAAATAAAAGTACATACCTAGAATGGTAAAGAGTTCCTACTTATGAGGAACGTGAACGTATAAACTTTCGTTCTTTTGTTTTAATATTTCAATTTACTGTACATTATATGATTTTAAATAATATATTATATCTACAATCGAGATTATAATATTAATATGCACTAGGTATTCATAAAGGATCGTTTAAAGAAGCGAGGATAGCGAACGAATTCCGTTTCAAAAGGAATTTTCCCAACACTGGTTAATTCATTATTTTTAGTTACCTACGTATTTTTCGTATCAACGTTACTTATTGCAAATACAGTTGTTGTTCACTTTTCTATTAAATATGATATACCTACCTGCCTATTAAATTTGGGGTTATTTGTTTTAATGTTTTATATACCTTTTGATGGCTACTTTTTCTCCTGTATCTATGTTTTGTCCCAACACAACAGAACCGTACGTGCCATCCCCGAGCTGATTCAGAGTCATGTACCTGTTCATGTTGGTTTATTATCATTTCTTCATGAACAAACGTGGCGTAAACGGGCTTTGTACTCGTACACACGCGACGCACGTGATGTATATTAAATATCGAATATTATTACTCTATTATTACTTTATAAAATACAGTCTGCTAAATAAGCCACCGTTTTAGTTGAGTTATCACGATAGTTAATAACAATGCGAGCAAAACGAAAAAATAAAAACTGATTATGAGTACCTATGATTTATATTTTATGTACATCGATCGACTGTTCAAACGTAGATATAAGTAGGTACTACACGCGTATATAGTATAGGCACGATGCACGGATAGAACTCAAATAATAAGCGTAAAAAAAAAAAAACCTAAGAAGACAAACGCACATTATATAGGTACACCGGAAACTAACCACCTGCACCGGTATACGAATATGCGTATATACCAATAAAAATACTGTTGCTAGGTTACGTTTCAGGCGTATTGTACAATCACAAGACCTCGTCTAAAAGTTCGCGTGGGCCACACAAATATTTTAACCGGCAGACAATCGATATATATATATAGTTACCTATATGCGGGTGAAGTTTAAAAAATAATAATACACTGGTCGTTAAACGAGTCCATCGTGATAACACAGTAATAACTCATACCCGTAACACGAGAGGTTGGTGGGAAGGTATATTAGGTATTCATCGCGAGGTCCGGGTAAGTATTTTTGTAGATGGGTACCTAACATTGTATAAGTATTATTATCGTGCGGATCGCTGTTATTTGCATAACAAAAAATATATTAGAACTTCCGCCTTGGAATAGCTATAGTACAAGTACAAATTTTATTTGCTGGATATTTTTACTGCTGAAAAACAAATTTCAAAAGTTATTCCCTACTAAAATACCAATCGCGTGATGTGTTAGATAATAGAAATAGGTCATCTTTGTCAATTTGTCAGCTGTAATTGTGACAAATCAAATATTATTTTTGAAAAACCTTGAATTAGAAAAACGAATATATATCGCTTTATTTTGTAATATAAAATATAAATTTTCGCTATATACACCCAGTGATCCATTTAAGTGGGTACACTCATTATCTCGGAAAGTATTAACTTTTTGGGAATTTGTTTCCTAGAACATTTAAGAAACAGTTTAGGTTGGAGGAGAAAACTAGAGTAACATTTGTGTGGCGGTACGGCGCGCAACGTGTTAATAATGCACTAGTACTCTCATCCAACCAAAACTTAGAAGTAAAATATCTCGTCAACGGCTTGACAGAAATCACAAATGTCAACATTAAAATTCATTTTAACTAATACTCCGTCTATTTATGTAATTTTTATTATAAATTGCCAATTGAAAATCAAAAGTAAGTGTGGTTTTACCCCTAAAAATTAGGGTAACAAAAAATAAAAAAAGGTATAAAATTGTAGAGCAGCTTGTTTCTTGATGATTAATGATTAATATTTATGAGGTTGAGCTTCTCAATGCAGAACTCCAAAAGATATCACTTAACTTCCATGAAGTAAAAATTAATATTAAACACATAATTGCATCAATTAACAGCAAAGAGAAAGTAGTTTTGATGACTTATGGCTGAAAATTTCAACCAAGGCAAGAGAACTGAATATTAACAAGTTGACTGCCGTGAGTACCATAATTGGTACTCACGTGATTTGTATTATATTATAGCTCTAAAAAAATACCGTAATCAACTTGTTAAGGAGCCAAATGACCAAAGACCTAACAAAATACCAACAAGATTTATTAAAAACAGTGAACAAGATTCACCTCAATCGGCTCTATCATTTAAACTTATATATTATGAAATAATAGATGTTACTGTATAGGCATTGAGTGGTAGGTTTCTACAAAATATAATCAATAATTTATGTTTATTAGAGAAATGTGTAATTGGCGAAGATAGACATATCACCGAAGTCTGTCATTGAATTTTATGGAAATGATTTTAACAGATATAAATTGAGATTGTATCGAGATGAGTTCTTAGATATTTCAAAATCTAGGGATGTATCGATAAAAAGTTTACAAAACGCCATAAACTTCATAAAATCTGATAATTTGTGTGACATGTTTTTTAGAAATTTCCAAACTCCTACCAATTATCTTAATTATTCCAGTTTAATCTTGTACTACAGAAAGGTCTTTCTCAGCATTAACGTTAAAAACATTTTTGAGATCAACGACACAGAAACGTCTCAATGATATAGCTATTCTTAATATCCATCAAAACTAAGATGTAAGTATTGAAAAAGTCGCTAAATTATTTATCCAAGTCTATATGGTATATTCGGCAGACTTTTGTCTCTAATTTGGTGATAACTCACTAATCATTATGAAACTCTTCTAATAATTAATAATTATTAATATTGTATAAGCCTTTTTACATCGATTTTGCTTAAAAAAAAGTATATAATAGGCATTAGAAATTATAATTTAGTATGATAAATAATTGGCTTTATAATGGTACATATTACATTATTTTATGATTTGAATCTGGACTCTTATTAAAAAAACACAAATACAAGTTTAAATTAAATGAGTAATACCATTTTAGTAGAATTAACTGTATACAAAATTGATCATTGACAAGTCTTTTTTTATTTCATTCACAGCTTCTTCTATCATTAGTATTATAAGTATTAAAAAAAAAATTCAAACTGACCTAGAGCTTATCTTAAGATTTGTATATTAACACGCACATTTTTTCTCATAATTCTTTAGAGTTTAAAAGAACATTAATTCAAAAACAATGTTAACATTATTACATGATGACACATACTGACATACTACAAATTACTGAGTGTTCTATATAATATTATGAATAATTTGACTATTTTATTTGAGTAGATAAGTTTTATATTCTTAAATCATTAATAATGTACAAATTATTAAAATAATTAATAATAAATTTATTTTTATAATAATTTATTTGCCAAATAATTTTAAATTTATAAACGGTTACTTATTTTAAGTATTATATCAACTAAAATAAAATATTTATCATACATAAGTTAACAACTATAGTACTATACTAAAAACTGGATTAAACTCATCATTACTTTAATAAATTTCTGATTGACTAATTAAATAATAGTAATTCATTGATTTAGATTAAGCATCATATAAATGATTATTGCACTTCAGAAACATTGTTTGTTCAAAAAGAGTATCAGTCATGTTAGTTTTTTTTTTTGTTACAGTCGCATCACCAATACTAAATACTTTTTCAACAGATGTGAATGCACTACTGGGCAGAGGAGTATTATATTTAACAAACACCTACAAATAGAAAACAAAGGAACAATTAAGAAAATATTAACAACGAAACAAAATAAAATTGTCTTACTCTTTTTATAATTGGTAGATTATTCAGACTGTCTAATTTTTTATTGGGAGAGGAACTTAAAAATTGGTCGATTTCACAGTCAATTGATTTTGTTTGTTCACATTGGCTATTAGAAGACCAAGTAAAAAACTTCAATGAGCTTGCGTTATCTTGAGAATATCCATCATTATTAGGAAAATCAGAGCTTAGGTTTTCCTCAGATATTTCTGAACATGCACGCTTAAAACATTCTATAGCATAATGTTGTTTAACAGTATTCTTAATCCATGCAGACTTGAAAAATGGATGACTAACAGCGGCTACAATGAAAAAAGTGTCTTTTTGAATTGTATGAAATCTATTTTCAATACCTAAAATTAAAAAATTGTTTGTAACATTAATAATTATATAATATTACTTATGATAGTCTACCATAATTTAAAGAATACAATTTTTGTTAGATATAAAAATCTGTAGTTTAGTTGGAAAAACTGAATACTAATGAAAGAATATACAGGCTAGCAGTTTTTTCATACAAATTATATAAAGTAAATGTAAAAATATTTAAAATAATTACCACAAAGCAAAGCAGTAATTAAAGGATGCATTGATGATAAAAAGTTATCTTCTAACATACAGTCAAGTTTGAACATCAATTCTTCAATTGTAGGTAATAAAAAACCAAAATACATATTTTTACTATTTTTTAAAATATCTAAACAAATAGATATTGGTGTCATCACTTTTTCATACTGTATTAAAAATTCTAAATCAGTCTGGTTAAATCTGGAATAATAAATGTAATTAATAGCAGTTAGTAGGATAACAGGTAACATACCAAATTAGTATTAATTTATATCAACTATTTCAACATTGTGCTATATATTTGTGTACCAAACTAACCATAAATTATTAAAATTATAAGTAATAATATAAAAAATCATCTCACTTGGTAACTTTTAGTTGCTCCATTAAAATGCTAAATTTGTATTCATTTGATTTTAAACACTTTAATAGACATTGAACAGAATCAAATAAGGAATTTAAACAATTTCTATTGGGTATCTTAAGATTAATGCCACAACAAGTCTTTATTAGGTCAGCATATGATTTAGAAAGACTTTGCTTGCTCCACAATGCTGAACACTTGGAGAATGTACTTGTGGATAGCTTCTTGTAGTTAGTATCTAACAAAGCATTTTTTGCATCCTATAAAATAAATATTTAAATTAAAACATAATACAAGTTGAATATAAACAAATAACATACGACTGTTGCGACTAAATTGAGCGTATGTACTGCACAACGATGATGTTTTGGTAGATAATATAACAAATCATTATCCATCAGCTCATCACTCAAGTTAATTGCCTGAAATTCAACTTCATCATTTGATTCTTGTAAATCATTTAAATAATCAATATCAGAATTGGAATCATCACTTATTTTGCCCAACTCGTGATGGCAATTAGTTCTATAACAAATTGCACAAAATACTTATTTTAATTTCAAAAATATAAAAAAATAATTTTATAGTTTTGGATTACTTGATATTAAACTTTAATGTATAGAAATAATATTTATATTGTACATAGATATGAATGAAACATTTAAATATATTCAGTAAGTAATTCAAATTTTCAATTTAAATTGTAGTTAAGTACTACTTTTGACATTTTATTGTTTATATTTTTAAATACAAAAATCATTGTTACTAACATTAATCGTTTAAACGCGATTGATTAATCGTGTAGTTTATGTTCCAAAACGTTATTACTATATTATTGTAAGTTTCCTGTAGTATTCAGTTTCAATATCAGAAGAAAAACAAAATATCTCAAGAAACTTTAGTGACTGGATTCTAAAATATGAAAAGAAAAACGATTAATGTCACTTACACTCAAATTATAATACAGACAGCATGACAGACAGACAGACAGATAAAGATATATCAAAAAAATATTAAAATGAGATGTCAGAAAAATAGTAATAATAACAGAAAAATAGCGAAATTTAATGCCATATATTTATCAGTTTTGGCTTTTCTTTTTCTTTTTTATAAAAACTGCTAGGGAAATTTAAACCAACTGGATATCAAAAACAACCAATGATCTCTGGAATTTTTTGATTGAAACAAGATTTCTGGTAAAAACATAATGCATACAAATTAAAATAATGTAATAATAATGTAATCGGTAATACAGCTATAAGCCGTAAATATTTTTCAGTTTTTCATATACAATTTTTTCCCGTTTTTACTCATTTTAAAAATCCCTTGGAAAATTAAAAAATGACCCCCTCAGGCATCAACTAAACTAAGTCCTCAATATAACAAATAATTTCTCTTATCATTTTTTTATTGATGCAAGCTTTCTGTTAAAAAAGTTGCTTGGATAAAAAAAAAACAGTAAAATAAATAGATACCTTGCTCTGCTCATAATTTAAAAAAAAATAAAGTTATTATTCCTATCAACATCACTGATTATACATATACATAATAATTGTGTATAGTTTAATTTAAATCATTTGAATATATAACATATATATATATTGGCTTTTGAGTGTATCGAGGGATCTATTGGTTTTACCATGAGATATTTTTTGTTGTATTTTAAATCTACATGGTTAGAAAGCAAATCATTTTTTTAATTTTCAATCAGTTTTCATAATAATTGGGAAAAACTAAATAAGATGTAAAATAAAAATTGAAAAATGTACATACAATTTTATAATAAAATTTTTACAAACCATGTTTTCATCAGCAATCCTACTTCAATCAAAAAATGACAAAATACCTTTTTTGTTTTATTATAGATCTAGTTGGTGAGTAAGAAAATCTAAAATTGTATTTACTGTGTACTTAGTTTTCTTAATAATTGAATAAAGCCGGGAAAAAACAGGAAAATTTAAGATAATTAAAAAAATGTTTACAAACTTAAAATTATTAAACATACGGAAAATTGTTGATGAAATTCAAACCATTGTCTGTTGTAGAATATGTTATTTTATGCGATATCTCAAATTCTGTGTAAATATTGTCCATTTCTTTTGCGAGCACATCAAAACTTTGATTACCTTCTATTCTCCTAATGGCTAAAAGACAAGTAGTCCTTGTAAAATTGGCATCTAACCAAGAAACATTAATGGCAATATATGATCTAAAAGTTAAATTATTATTAGTATTAAATTAACTTTACAAAAAATAAGTTAATAACTAACTTTTTATAAATTGACCAGCAGTCCACTGTTGTTGCTACCGATACAAAAGTTGATAGCTTGGATTTTAATTTATCCGTTAATGATAAAAAGTCCACTTCAATCCTCTTCATTAAAGTTGCATGAGACATAAGATTATTTTTAGGAAATCCTCTTGAAATTATTTCCTTCAAAATTGGATTTTCAATCATAACAAATGGCATTCCAGAGCTTATTATAAAGCGTTGAATAAGGTTGTCCAATGTGTCTGAATTCAAAACAACATTATCTATCAATATTTACCTAGTTATTTAAACAGCTAGTATTACTAAAATAATAAAGCAAAAACAAAATTATTAAAATGGTTAATACTCATAAATAAATTATTTCAATGTAAAACGACCAATTTGTATAATTTTTTTTTTTCTGTATGTATTCAATTAGTTTTTTTATATTCAGTCGTGTTTTACATTTTGACTGTGATATACCTGATGATGAATTTTTAATTCGAAACCAGTCGTATAATACAATTATCATAATACTCCAGGCATTCATTAATTTATTTATTTATTTATTTATTTATATTTTATTTACTATAGTTATTATTAGCAAGTAATTATTCACTAAAACAAAACAAAATTACATACTCTTAAAATGATTTATTATTTATTTGGTATGTAAGTACCTACTTAGATACCTATGTCATATTACCTATTTTAAATTTACATTTATAACCTGAGGATTAAGTACCTAGTACTTATTAGTAAGTTGATATACTAATACTTACTTTGATCTGTCGATATATTTTGATCAATAAAATCTAAAAAATGTTGTCCATCATTAGCTCCACTTGAATTAGTTTTCATTTTTTTAGCCGATGATCTAACATTGATTTCAATCGACACTCGTTTAGAACTTTTTCGATCGGATTGATGGTCGATATTTCTAAGAATTACCGGATGTTTGCTCTGCAAAGTAAAATATCACGGTAATCAAATCGGTTCCTACTTAAGGGTAGTAGGTAGGTAAATCTAAAAACAACAAATTGGGTTTCATTATTTGAAAAATAAATTATAGGGAAGGTATCCTACATAATTACTGATAATAATTACCGATAAATGTTTTCTCAAATTGGAATTTGATCTGGTGTCCATGGTGAGTTCTTTTGTGCCGACACATATCAGACATTTGACTTTCAGTTTTTTGTAGCACACTTTGTCTTCGATCTTGAGAACTCTGAAATATTTCTTGTAGACGGGCCACGGGAAATCCGGAGAGTCGTCGTCGAGCTCGGTTATCACGGAATCGCAATAATTGGCGGTATCGCCGTAGTCGTGGGCCGGTGATTCGCGACCAGCAGGCTGTGCCGGTACCGGCGGCGGCGGCGTCGTCGTCGTGTTCGGATCGCCGGCATCGTCGCCGTCGTAAACGAATTCTTTCTTCACGTGCCGGTATTCGATTAATTCGCTCATGTCGACCGGTTTACGGCCGCGGGGGACGGCGAAACAGTTGGGCCGATCGGTTTCTATAGCGCGCAACACACTGCAGCTATACATTCATACCTATTATTACGGCACGAGACACGGGCGAGTCGGCGAGGCGAAAACCGAACGGAGACGTCTGCAGGACACGCGGCGTCGTCGTCGACGGCGGCGGTGTACGTCGCCAAACTGTCGGCCGTCAACGAAATGAATAACAATGATAGGCAGTCCGGTCGCTGTCGCACCGGCGCACGAGGAGTCCGCGACGACGGGGATCGGGGAGTCGGGCGGCGATGTCACATTTCGCGATATTTTCCCGTAAAAGTCCGCGATAAAATCGAGACATTTAACACTGGGAGCATTGTAACAACAGCATTAGCGTTATTACCCATTATGTAACGCCTATTTTCTGTCGTCGCGTTACGTTTTAATAATTATTTCGTAGACGCTTGTACAGTAAAACTATTATTGAATTTTGTTTTTGTTTTTTTTTTCTGTAAACTTTTATCGATTCTAGAGGCGAATGTCCGAACGCCGGAGTGACGGACCGGCCCAACCGGGTGCGCGGGCGAACGGACGAGCACCAGAGAGTCCGCCGGCGTCGTTCTTAATTGTTTTTTTTTTTTTTTTATTTTCTCCTCCGCCGCCGCCCCGGACGTTCGCCTAAAAATCGATACTTACCCGCCGGAACGATAATGTTACGCGATCGGGCCGATCGGAAACTAGTGCGGTGCGGGGAAACTCACATTTACGGACGCGCGATAAATCAAAATTGATGTTATGCGCAGAGTATTAAAAAACTGTTCGTTCTATTTATGTGCATGTTGTATACGTTATTCGTACCTGCCCGATGATAACCCGGTGTTACAAGTAAGGTGCAACAGGAAGCTGCGGCACCGGTCCTTCGATATAACCGTTTTCGCGGATTAATATTTATATACAATTTTAGAAAAATTTTAGAACGCGTGTATGATCGTTGTCTGCGATATTCCAATAAACTAAACCGTTCGCAATACACACACACGCGGTGACTTCACGGGGGGCAATCGCCCCCGTGCTTCGATTGCGACCGAAGTAAAACGTGCACATAGTATGTTTCGCTTTTGTTTAATCACCATGTACAAATTATTTGATTATTATTATAGCATTCATGGTTAATGAGTTTCGACATCGAAACAACGTATTGTCTAAATATGGCTCGTGATACGATACCACGATTATGACGTTTTATGCGTGTAAATATAATCCATGTACAGTAGTTTAAGTTTTTTATTTGACCACGTGCTAAAATCTAAAAGTCTGCGCCTGTGAATACTGCACAGTTAGCGTACTTATACCAGTTATGACTTGTGGGTACCGTTGGGAGGGCTATAAATAATAATACACAATAAACGACGGAACGTAAAAATCCGGATATTAAAAAACCGTGGACTGAAAAATCCTTGAACGTAAGAATCTGGATTGCGAAAATTCGGAATGTAATATTCCGCGGAAAATATCAATGGTTTATAGAAAAATGTAGTACGGCCAAAAACGTCAAAACTTGTATAAACCCGTGAAAGTAGACAAAAAGTTAGGGAAGATAAATGCTTTGGATCTTAGGGGTCGGACAAAGAGAAAAGGCTGACGGAATAAAAACTGCTATAGATGTTGACGGCGTATCATTGAAACGACTGGAGGTTACTGTTTCGAAACCATTGGTTTTTACTTAATTATGGGAATTGAACGTTCCGGATTATTGCAGGTGCTGGTTTTTACGTATTGAAATTTCACATTTCAGGATTTTATCGTTCCGGAAAATGGCGGACCTACCTAACCGATGCGGTCTATGGAACAGACGAGCAGTCCATCGGGAAAAAACCGGGCGGGTTAATCCGTCCCTGGGTCTACCCCACGATCCCATCATATCGGTCGGGGTAGCATATTTTCGAGGGGTTGCGAATTGTGTGAAGTATTCACTAGAAATGTATAGTCGATACAACCATGAATGCCTAGCAAAATCAGCGACCGGCGCCTGAAAACTTAAAAAAAAAAAAATTGCTAATCATAATCTTTTATGCTAAACGTATCTGCCGGTTATCACTAGCTAACTGACTTCATAATTTAGCATCGATATCATCTGAAAAGGTGTTCAGATGGGAGCTACCTAATTCAAAGTTCTACAAAGATTATTGATGAGTTTGCTAAGTTTAATTATAGAATAATTCAATTTATATGATAAAATAATTGAGTAAAAGAAAAAAATTATTAAAATGGTTAATTCTCGTAAATAAATATAGTAAACAAATATGTAAATAAGAAATGTATACGTAAACATAAAATAAATAAATGAATAAACGCGTCACCTGGTGTCGCGTTGTACATTTTGACTGTGATTTACCTGTTGATGAATTTTTAATTCGAAACCGGTAGTATAACACACGTTTTATAATACTCTAGGCGACGCATTCATTCATTTATTCGTTTTATTTTTGTATATACATTCTTTATTTATGTATTTATTTACTTTACCAATTCATATAGTCACCTAGTAAATTCATTCATATTTTTTGAATTTAAAAAATTAAAAATCTGTTTTTACAAATTGTGATAGTGAGAACATTACCAAATTGGAAAAATGGGATTTCAGCGAAATAAGATTATTATTTCGATTCGTATCATAACCGACTTTTTGATCGGCAAAATGCGATGGAGCTCGTTTAAGTGAGATGACACCATAAATTAATTATACTTATAACCGATCCTGTTCTAAATCTTGATCCTGGGCACGTTTGGAAGGTACAGCATAAAGCATTCTGAATATTATAAAAATACCCCTTATCCCTCTCCTCCCCTCTCTCTAGATTCGCTAAGTCAGTTCATCCATAATAATTAATAGTGACATTTTATACCAAAATGTTAATGTTTTAACCTAAATAAACACAAATAAATAAGTAGGTATTATAAAACAACAGACCACAGTTAAATATTATTAGGTCGTCTAAAAAAATACCTGCATTATCTAGTAGGTACGTGCCGATATGTAAATATATCATGCCACCATAGGTATTACCTACAGGTGTTTGCCTAAGTGCTTACTATCATCGAACTAAACTTTATTGGAAACATATTGTAGATTTACGTATAAGCAGGTAGGTACATACAATTTTAAATAAATTTCGTATTAGATTGAAATGCAGTATAGGTATGCGTCTACGTCATACAACAAATACAAAAATTAATGTATGCATTCCTAAAATGTAGAAAATACAAACACTATAGTATTACCTATAGGTAATAGGTTCCTATCTGTTAAAAAAATGTATACCTAGGTAATATACCGTACATACTAATTATAATAATTGTTTAACATCTGGTGTTATAAAATTACATTTATAGATGACAGCGATGGCTAAAATGTGCTACGCAAATAAATATACTACGTGGGTGTATAGATACCATAGGTAGCAGTTTTATTTTTCAAATAAAAGTATATCCCACAAATGGAAACTATAAATTATGTATTACGTGTGTTATATAGGTAGGGATTTTAACACTGAATAGTGAATAGTTTACTGATATGTGATAATAACAATATTTTTAAATAATATTACTGAATGTATTACCTAATTACGGTGTTTATTCGTTCAAATGGCAACGCGGACTTTTTCAAGCCGGATCGACTCGGTGTTTTTTTTTAAGAAGATTTGGGAGGGGGATGTTCTAATTTACACGGTTTAACCTATTTTCAATATTTTAATCCATGCGATGTGCGCATGCGCAACGTATATTTTTCTTAAATGAAAATATTTATTTTTAACGCCAGATTAGTCATATTTTTTTTTCGAGTATATTATTGTTGTTTAAACTTTTTTTGTAACTCGAAATCGCCTGATAAATACGCCCGTATAAATTGTATTAAAAAAAAACCTTTTTTCGTGATTTCGCAACAGATTTATAACGTAAATGCGTTATAAATTATTAAAAATACGTGCCTATTAGGTATGTGGAATTTTATGATTGTGTCGACTCAATTATTTGTTTTCCGTTAAGTTTAGTTTTATTGTACAGGGTTTAACATTTTGAAAATTGGTTCAAAAATAGAAATGTGTACTTCGGCGACCCCGATTTTTCTAAAAAAAAAATAAAATAATCAAAACCCCCAATTCGAAATGATTCGATTGATATAAAATTCCTTACCCCCGTTACCGATCTAGCGAAATGAACTGCAGTAGGTATACGAGGGGCCGGTAGCAGATCAAAACACCATACAAAAAAAAAAAAAAAATGTCATAACAGTTTTAATTTTTATCAGATAAACATTGAACGCCTTCTACAATAATTATAATACAACATGGATAACATGATAATGTACACTGGGTAACAAGAATACATGAATTTTCGATTATACGCCTCTGTCGTCGTAATCATATTAACATGTAACGCAAGCTGCTCAAGTGTTTAATATAAGAAAAAAAAAACAAATCCCTAGTGGGGTAAGTACCTATTGGTGTATATTAGGTGTAAATTGCGTGCGCCTATTTGTGTATAATAATAATTGTCAAAATTTTGTGGGGCCGCCTAAGCGTACAGGCCGATATAGTTTGTTGTAGACATACATACAATCACATCATTTTAATACAGTTACGTCCGTGTATTTATTACTTGCAATATTTGCACGGTTCAGAATCTCGTTGTTTTTCGATTGTTCGCATCGCGTCTGACGCTGTTGCGGTGATGGCGTTCTATGCGAATGTCGTCCGGATCGTCGTCCTTTTCGGCGGTGTCCGACGACGACAACAAACATTCGCGTTCGCCGGTCAAATTCCTGGCGTCTGAATGGTACGCCCCGAGTTGACGGCGGCTTTGTTCTTCGTTTCTAACCAACTTGAGCAGATTGATGTCCATGGAATTCATGGTCCACGGGAACGGTTTAAATTGCCCGGGCCCGAAGTCTCGATACCTGCGCAGCTGCCGTTTAATACGACAATAATATGTGTCGGGTAGGCACTAGGCGTTATTTATAATACTCGTATTATAATATAATACCCGTTACCTATACAATATTAATAACTATTAGTATTATGAACGAACATGAATAACGTTAATATCGAAATTTCGATTTTGTAGCTATTATAAGAAAAAAAAAAATAATAATAATAATAATAATAATAATAATAATAATAATTTACCTACACGTGAATTTATCGACGCCGAAACGAACCAGAGGAACGCAACTCTCAGATTATACTGTAACGTTACATAATATACAATATCATTGTACTTACGATATTTTATCGGTTAACTGCGCCACTAAGAGAGACATACCTATACGTATATTATAATAATAGGCAAAAAAAAAAAATTGCCGAATAATAATTGATAAGTTCCTCTTGTTTTTTTCGGAAAGCGGACGAGAAGTGAGGGACAAACCACGAAATAATAAATCGCGTGTCTCCTACTGCATGCGTGGTAGTCACGAACCAAGATAGGCTTTATCTTAAATTTCGTGAGCATACCACGGTAATGCATTATGTCGTGTACATAATATATATTTTGAGAGATATTAGGTATACCATGACAAAATGTACAAATCAGGATACTATTCGCGGCTCGAATATTGCACTTTTTGGTTTTTTTTTTTCTGGGGGGCAGATCTTATCGAGAGATCGGAACACAATTCATATTTTTAACAAAAGGTCAGTGGCAGAGCATTTGCAGGCATAGTTCTAGTTTAGAGCACTAGTGATTTTTTTTTGTTACCTTCAAAATGTTTGTTGTCACGCGTGTACGTAAAAAATTTAAAAACAACAAATTTGACGAACTTCGTTTGGAAGTTGTAGGAAAAAACTTCCAAAAGTTCGATTTTTCCGATATGTGCATCCCTTAGTTAGAATTTAATATTTTTGAATATTTTATTATTATTTTTCTCCAAAATACCCTTGTGGTTTTTAATGCTTAATCTATTTGTATAAATCAAAATAACTTACAAAACATAATTTTAATTCGAATGTTTTTAGGTACGTAAACCTTGAAACATCTTGGTTTTTTGAAAATGCGTATTTTAACACTGATAATAGAAATATTTACATTTTTTTTTTTTCACGGAAACTATTATTTAAGAAGTTTATTATTTTCACTGTACATAATAATAATTAAACGAAGGTGGCTAAAAGCACGAAGTTTAAATTAATTAGGACACCGTCCTCTTTGCAGAAGCCATGACGTGCTCAGACATTTTCAATGGGACGGAGTGTAGGAATTAACAATCATGTATAAATGTAGGTTAAGTATGGATTACTACGCAATTTAATTTTTTTGTCAAATTTGAAATGACAATATTATTTCTTAAATTTTCCGATGAAAAAAAAAAATTGATTTTGGAAATTTTTTTTTTTCATTTATTCTTATCCGAAGTTACCTCTCATTTGTCACAATTTCGGACTAATTCTTATGGTGGGACGATTTAGAAAAATTAAATTAAATTAAACAGTACACAATTGTGCGCCCCTGTAATGTAGAGGTTGTCTGCAGTTTCCTCTAATTGATAAAAAATATATACTTTTAAATAGCATATAAAATATAGCTGGTTAGTGAAAAAAAATTAATAATTCATTAAATAGTTTACATTAATAACTTACAAATTCAAATTTTTCATCATATAGATATTAACTATTGAATATGAATAAGGGGTCTAGTTTCAAATATATTATTTTTAACTCTGAATTCTAATAACTCATTATTTATTAACAAAATATTCAAACTCCAATGTATTTTTAAGCTTGAAAATTCCATATAGTTTCAAAACGTACAATCTTATTTGACAAGTATGAATCTGTTTATAGTAAACATGTTATTACTTATTATTATTATTATGATAGTTTCGGACATCATTAACAACGTTATACTAATAAATATAATATTACATTATACACTATTAGCAGGGTGAAAATTGTCTTACTTATTAATCTTAAGAACTTTAAATATTACTTTTTAAATAATTAAAATAACTATAACGGTTTTTTGTTTTTTGTAAACATTTAAATAAAATAAAAAGGGAATAAAGACATTTAATAGTCTTGTATGTTATTTCCAAAGCGAGCGATCTCCAATTGTTAGCTTCATACACTACATTAAGGTGGTCCTTATTTTTGAACTTTCAATTTTTTAAATTCTCACCCTCACATATTTTTCATTATCATAAAAAACTAAGTTTTGTTAAATTTGGTGATAGTAACTCACCCCTTTCACGTGCCGCAAGAGAGTTAAACATTGTCAAACAAGGTAGTTTTAAAGATTTTTGTATTTAATTCAAAAAATATTGCACTCAGCATAAAAATTTGTAGAATTTTATTTAAAGATCTAAGCATTTTCCACAAAAAAACATTCTTAAAATATTTCTCCTAAATCCAATATTTTTCAAGAAAAATAATATAATATTCATTTGTTTTTAAATTTGTATTTTACTGTTTTTTTTTTTTTAATATATCCACTAAAAGAGCAATGTTATAATAACATAACATAAAAAGGTAAAATAAAATAAAATTACACAATATTATATAACATATTTTTGAATATTAATAACAAATAATTCCAAGCATACAAAAAGTATGCACGGTTCATATTACATTTAAATAAAAATTCTATACTTATATGTATTAATTATTGTCTCCTTTCTACAATCTGGATAAATTTTTTTGTAATCATTTACAACTTGTAACAAAAATTGTTTTTGTTTTTCGTCCTTCGTCAGTACACTATTGTACTCTTGAATTAACCTGACGCCTCTTTCTGCAACATCATTCATCACAACTATCTGTGTGAAAATTTAAGAAATCAGATTAAATTTTAAATATTGAAAACAAATTCATTGTTTCTGGTGACACAAATTCATACAGTTCTTTCTTTAGAAATGTTTCTACATCCTCACTGCGCAATATAAATATGTATTATTCGTCTCATCAATATCAATACTAGGGGTTGATTTAATTACTTCTACCATTTGAGTTTTAATTAAAGTTGATACACGAGAATCGAAAAATGACAATGCAATTTTTCAGGCACGAAATACCATAAATGACCACAAAATTAATGTATAACTGCCTTAGAAATTATAGTATCTGGGTATTTTATCAATTTCTTTAAAAATATAAAGTCGTTGAATGGGGAATCAATTGCAACGGGACATTCAAACCACGCTTTTACGTATACTTTCACTAAAAAAATAATTATATCACGAAATTCATTTTTCTTCTCGAACATTAAGTTTAAACTGTTTTCGGAACATGTATATTTTTATAGAGTATATCGCTTTCGACATCCACCTTGCGTGATGATAAGCACCAGGATTATGAAAGGATATACCATTTGGTGGTTTCACACCCAGAAATATAATAGTCAACTTAAAATTAGAGTTAAAGAACTATTAGTCTCTAATAGTTCTTTGTAATAATCTCTAAATTGTTTTTGTCAAATTGCGAAAACAGTAATTTATAACTTCAGATCTATTTCTTTCAACAGTAGATTTTACAACTACATCATCTATTCCTATCTCAAACTGTGTTAAATTAATTTCGGCCATGGCTGTTGAAATTTTTAAAAAATAAGAACATCCGAACAAGTTGTTTAATTATACTTCAAATACACTTCTTAACACCAATTTGAAAATATGCCTTCTACAAGGTAAATGTAAAAGATTTTTTTCTATCAGTTGTTCTAATATAATACAGGCACCATTTAACCGACCTGTGTTTGATGCCGTTGTATCGCAGCTAGCACTTTATTTAATACGTCCCAATCTAATATTATTTTCTAGTTTTAATTTATAATAAACTATCTTAAAAAATCTTAAAAATCTTAAAAAAAATCTTAAAATAGATTTAATTTAGTAAGAATGATAGCAGTCAACTTTGGTGTAGGAATTCCCAAAACAAAATAACACGATATAAGAATAGATAAAATCATAACATAAATTGTGTGCATATTTATACAAAGTAAACAGTCCTGAAATACTAAAATATAATATCTACAAATAGGTATTAAATATATATTAATCTAATATCTTAGAAAATAATGGATTTAGGAGAAATATTGTAAGAATATTTTTATAGACAATGCTTAGATCTTGTCATAAGCAAAACACTGGTAAATAATCATCTTTGCTTAACTATGAATAAGTTTAAAAAATCAGTACAGAAAAAAAAAATGTTTTTCTTCGTTTTCCGAAAATTAAGTGAATACGTAGATTGTACACTTTAAAACTAAATCCCTCAAATACTTAATGATAAAGGATAAGTATTATATTTTCACATATTTACTTCTGCGGTTTATCAGATAAGCAACCACAATATTATATAATAGTTATGTATTATTCATAATTTCATAAGGAACAAACATGTTTTGAGACATGTATAACAGTTTTTGTTATCATCAAACAATTTGTCCCAATATATTTAGTTAGCATCACAAAATTTGTTAAAAAGATATTCACACAAATGGAAAAAAGACAGACATAGGTGCTTCGCACATGGTTGGGTCACTGTTGGCGAGAAGTTAGGAAAGACCATAATATTTACGATTTTTGTCAAAATTGCATTTTCTCATAAAAAAAAAAACCACATTACTCAAATTTTTATTTTTTACCACTATATATGACTTATAAAGAACTTCAAGTCATATTTTCTGATTTATGTTTGTTTTAACAATTTAATCCACATTGTACCTATTGAATTAAAATGTCTTTAAATAGTGAGTTTTTTAAGTTGTATAACGTCTAGAAAAAGTTTTCAGTCCAAAATTATAAAACAACGAAGATTTATATCAGGATTACATCAAAAAAAAAAAAATATTTAAAATAATAAACTATTAATTTAATAGATTTTCCGGTTTTGCTAAATTATTCAAAAAACAACACGGAAAATCTCTCACAAACCAGATTAAAAATGTAACAAAGATAATTTTTCTAATATTTCGGTTCTTAATTGAAGGAAGATTTCTAATAGAAAACAAGTTACAAAAAATGTAAAATTATGAAATCCTTACAAATATAAAAACGCATTTTGATTTTTGACATTCCCAAACCATCACCTCAGTCAAATTTTCTTTTATAAAAGGTGCAGTCAGAAATGGAGAGGTCCACAGAAAAAAAAATGATTTAAGAATTCATATTTATGAAAATTTAAAAATTGTCTATGGTATAAATTATTGATTTTCAACATACTTACTTGAACTTTACAATTGACAATTCCATTGTATTATTTCTTATTAGACTCCAAGGTAGGATATTTTATACTAAATCATACTTATTTCAAGGATTAATAATCAATAGAAACCACTTATGTTAATTAAAATCATTAAATTACAATTATAATGAATGCTCAAGAGAATATTATATTGCAATAAACTGTAATATATAGATTATTCTAAACAAAATTTATATTTCAATGCTTAGGTATTGTCAAATTTGAAATCAATAGATAATAGTGAACTGAGAAATCTAATAAAATTTTTAAATACTAATAGTAATACGACATATTAGATTAGTAGTTCATGAACCAATTATCCAAAAATTCATTTTTTCTATCAGTATAACTGAACTAATAATTAGAAAAGATAAGAATACAATTTTGGAATGAGAATAAACAAACATCATATAGTAGGTTTTTTTTATTTAATTGATCTGAGAATGATTAAATGCAGCAATAAAAAAACAAAGTACCATTAAATGTTAATACACGTTAGGGAATGTGGGGACTTCAAATACTTTAATCAACTTCTTCAATGGTTGGACCAGCTCCGGCTCCAGATCCAGCTCCAGGACCAGCACCACCAGCTCCGGGGAAACCACCTGGCATGCCTCCAGGCATACCACCTTGGGCGCCAGCATATAATTTAGTGATAATTGGGTTGCAAATTCCTTCCAATTCCTTTTGTTTATGTTCATATTCTTCCTTGTCAGCCAGTTGGTTAGCATCCAACCATTTGATAGTATCATTGACTTTTTCCATAATTGTGTTCTTGTCAGATTCTGGGATCTTGTCCTTAAGTTTCTCATCTTCCATTGTGCTCTTCATGGTGAAGCAGTAAGACTCCAAACCATTCTTGGCAGAAATCACATTCTTTTGTTGTTCATCTTCTGCCTTGTATTTCTCAGCATCATTCACCATGCGTTCAATATCCTCCTTGCTCAAACGTCCCTTATCGTTAGTGATGGTGATCTTATTTTCTTTATTGGTTGACTTTTCAATGGCACTGACATTTAAAATACCATTGGCATCAATGTCAAAAGTGACTTCGATTTGAGGAACTCCACGTGGTGCCGGGGGAATAGCGGTGAGCTCGAATTTTCCCAACAAGTTATTATCTTTTGTCATAGCACGCTCTCCTTCATAAACTTGGATCAATACACCAGGTTGATTATCAGAGTAAGTAGTGAAAGTCTGGGTCTGTTTGGTTGGAATAGTGGTGTTACGCTTAATAAGAGCTGTCATCACACCACCAGCAGTTTCAATACCCAGAGACAATGGAGTAACATCAAGCAACAACAAGTCTTGGACTTCTTCAGATTTGTCTCCATGCAAAATAGCTGCTTGAACTGCAGCACCATAGGCAACAGCCTCGTCGGGGTTGATAGATTTGTTCAATTCTTTTCCGCCGAAGAAATCTTGCAACAATTTTTGTANTTAATGGCAGATTTGTCAATTTTGGCATCACGGAGAGATTTTTCTACTGGTTCCATAGTGCTACGGAAAAGATCAGCATTCAATTCTTCAAAACGAGCACGGGTGATGGATGTGTAGAAATCAACTCCTTCAAACAACGAATCAATTTCAATGCTCGCTTGGGTAGATGATGACAGAGTACGCTTTGCACGTTCACAAGCTGTTCTCAAACGTCTCAATGCTCTCTTGTTAGTAGTTACATCCTTCTTGTACTTGCGTTTGAACTCTTGAACGAAGTGATTTACCATTCTGTTATCAAAATCTTCACCTCCCAAATGAGTGTCTCCAGCAGTGGACTTTACTTCAAATATTCCGTCTTCGATGGTTAAAATGGATACATCAAAAGTACCACCACCCAAATCAAAGATAAGAACATTACGTTCTCCAGATGTCTTTTTATCAAGACCATAAGCAATAGCCGCAGCTGTTGGTTCGTTAATAATACGCATAACATTCAAACCGGAAATAGTACCAGAATCTTTGGTGGCTTGACGCTGGGAGTCATTGAAATAAGCAGGTACTGTGATTACAGCATTTGTCACAGTCTTTCCCAAGTAGGCTTCAGCGGTTTCCTTCATCTTGGTCAAAACCATGGAAGATACCTAAATGAAAATTGTATTAATTCAAATTCATTTAATAAGCAGGTAAGTTTTATTGAAATGTATAATAGGTACATCAACTGGTATAAAGCAAAAGGAGCTAAGCGATATTATATTATGGTGACCAGATATAAAAGTACTTTTGAAAATGTAGGTCCTTCAATAATAAAAAAAAATCCCTTGTAAGGATTAGGAAATGTACCCAACTATTGTACTCATAGCCTATCTAATCTAAACAAATCTTTTTTTTCGAATCCGATTTCTCAATTATTTTTCCTATGTATATAAATAATTCAATCACATAAGTGTTCCCATCTAATAAAATAATGAAATATTCTAATTATTGGTATAAGTGATTATATATAGCAAAGAAATTGTTTAAAAAAGTGAATATATTTTTTTTGATATATAATGAATTATATTCGAAAATCATAATTATTGTTTTTAATTTTAAAATATTATATTACACTTATTTATATATAATTTGCTATACAATTAAAAACATTTAAAATTGCAATAAAAAGTAAAATTAAAGCAACTCATTGCTCACTTATAGGAAAAGTAACAAAAATAGATAAAAATCATTAGTTTTAATAATTATATAATAAAATATTTGAGAGTTTATTATATTCCGTGAATAATAATGAACTAAGCGAACACTTTGCTAAAATAGTGTCAAATAGGAAAATAATTCATAAAAAAGTGAAGAATAGTTCATAAGTGGCAGCTCTGCAATATTATTTTGCGGTTAGACATTATCAGTTAGTCATCAAGTACAATATGTCCCATGGCATAAACATGATCAAACAAGGAAAGGATAACATATTATATTATAATAATCATTAGTATTAGTGTTATTTAATTTATTCATAACTGCAAATTTCACTTTGCTCATTAAAAAATGGCAACTTATATTATTAAAGGTCAATGGATTATGATTTTAATTCATAAGATAAATTAGTTAATTGAGTATATGAACCATCATAAAAACTTCAAAATTGTGAGGAATGTTTTATAAACTATAAATAGGTTAAAAATACTATAGTAGATATTGATATTAGATACTCAACATTTTAAATAATTTTGTCAATAAAAGAATTTCAATTTTATATTATATTAAGAAACTTGAAAATAATATTAACCTCAGGTTTTTGAACCGAAAAATGTATTCAAAATGAAAATATTATTAAATCAATAATTATATTAAATTTAAATTAGGGTACAAGTATACTCCAGAAAGAAAAAATCAGAACTAAGTGACAAAAATTCAATGTGTTTAAAAATTAACAAACATTTACAATAAAATTAGAGATTCAAGCCTTCAAGGTTACATAAATAGGGTAGATACCTATAAAGCTTAATTCCCAAAACATCAATGCCAAAGTTAAGAACAAATAAAACGTTTGTATTTGCTCCCCTAAAAAGTAAACTATCACTTAACCCATTTTGCCATTTACTAGTCATTTTCATTAGCTGTCGTGGGTATAAATATTTTTAATATAAAATTTACCTCCTCAGGGGAGAAAATTTTGCTCTCTCCTTTGTAGGAAATCTTGATCTTGGGTTTACCCCCATCACTGACAACTTCAAAAGGCCAGTGTTTCATATCAGCTTGAACCGTAGCATCTTCAAAACGTCTACCAATCAATCGCTTAGCATCTATAATAAAATATATTAGTATTCCTACTTATAACATGGCTGACATTATTTTGTACTTACCGAAGATAGTGTTGTTGGGGTTCATGGCAACCTGGTTTTTTGCTGCATCTCCAATAAGACGTTCAGTATCAGTGAAACCAACATAACTGGGAGTAGTACGGTTTCCCTGGTCATTGGCAATGATCTCTACTTTACCGTGTTGAAACACTCCAACACAAGAGTAAGTTGTACCCAAATCAATACCAACAGCAGGAGTTTTAGCCATTTTGATTTGTAATGAATTTATTTATGAATAGGAATAAATGAATGAGTCTTATTGTTTGGTAAATAATCCTGAAAAATGAATAATAAATTTATATTGAGAATAAAAATGAAGTTATACAAATTAATGCCACAAATATTTCATAAAAGGTTAACAAGATATGTGAAAAACAATAAAATAAGTATTAATAATATCCATAAAAATATTAATCTAAAATAAAACACCAGCAATTAAAAATGATATTATCAAGGTATTGTTTAATAATATTTTTGTATTAACTTAATAAGTACAATATTACCAGTGTAAGGTCAAATCAATAATTATTTTTATTTTCAGAGGACACTGTTCAAGAATAAAATGCTTGATATATTCCCATACTCAATACAAGGTTATAAGAGTTTAAATGAATTCATAGGAATTAGTATTATAAATTAAACTAGCTGTTAACCCAAGTTTACAATTAATATAGTGTATGAAATGAACAATATACAAAGCCTAGATTAAATTAAGAGTGTAAAATGACTTATATGTAGATAAAAATGAACGTACAACCAATAGGCAACAATGAAGCAATATATTGTGCATTTAAATAATTATTTATTCGCGGAAAAAGATTTAAGGTCTACATATTATGGTGCATAACCCAATTTAAATTTAGAAATGTACATAATACTGGCATGAACTTATTCTATATATTTTGGAGGTTAAATCAAAGAATTAGTCATTAGACAAATTAATAATTTATGAAACCAATGAATAACAATAGATGTTGAACTAAGACATTTGAACCAATATTAACATTTGTGTAGGTAATCAGACATTTCACACAGCAATATTAATTTATAATATTTAAGGTTATAAGAACAAAATATTTGTTGGTATACCTATAATACTATGAATATGGTTAAAATAAAAAAAAATAACATGCTATTTATTCAAATATAATGACAACGTATAACAGATAAAAAAATGAAATTTATCACCAACTAATAAATTCAACAATTTACTTAGGTCGTATTTCATAAAATAAGGAAATTAAGGAACGCGGGCGACCTTGATTCCTATATGGGTAGTAAATATGATGTATTTCAATTACTTCCTAATAAGTGTCATGAGGCGGATAGACAATTAGTCATATAATGAAATATTATTATACCACAGAACGGAATTTGACAATTGAGAAAAAAAAAATCAAAATTCAAAACAAATAATATGAACAAGGTTTGTGAGGTCACAAGTTTATTCGAATAATTTGTTATAAAATAACGTGGTGAAGTGTATACGGCCGACAGAATTTAATACAAGAAAAAAGTCAATAATTTTGATAAACAAACGAAGAAAAGTTGTAATGTAATTCGAGTGGGCAATAACGGGTAAAATAAAAAAAAAAAAATACGGATTTAAGAAAAAAACGCCATTTCCTAACCTCAATTCCGAAATTCATACATCGTGTAGCCAATATGGGAAACACGATTTTGATCGCGGATATCTTTCCGGGATAAAAATAACAGGAACACGAAAATATGGGAAACAAAGCAACAATAATGTGGATGGAATGAAATAATTCAACCAGGCGTCATATTCGAGATAGACAATAAGAAATTTAAAATATTTAAAAAATATATATACTTACAAACAGTTGGACAGTTCGGTGGTCTGAAACAAAATGGTCGAGCAGGCAAGGCGATGCCGCGGTGGTGTTCAAGCGTTAAGCGTCTCCGGGTTCAACTCGGATCGATGAGTGGGGAGTGGGCTGGTGATGGTGGTGAAATGAGTTTTTTTTGGGTGGGGTGGGTAGGACGGGCTACTGATAAACCGTTACAATGGCTTGCGTCTATGGTAGTATGCGTAAAATGACGCAGCTGCTGTTGTTTAGCGGCCGTTCGCCGGAATTCGAGAACATTCTAGAATTTCCTTGGAAGAAAAAACGTTCATTCAGCGGGGAAGGGTACATAAATAAATTGCGGCAAAAAATATTTAGCTTCTAAAATTATTTTCATAGAGGAACAATAGTTCTAAAACATTAACAAATCATGGGCGTCTCCAGATCTTGACTAGGGGGGGGAGATGAAATAGTAAAATTTAATATTAATGATAAATAAACAAAAGACTGACATACTTCGCACAATGGGTGGACCACTGTTATAGATGAGAAGTTGGAAAGGTAGGATATTGAGGGAAATTTAATGTGTATCTGTACCTAATCAAATTTAATCATTGCCAACAAAAACGATTCTGATCGAAGCTTGGTTAATTGTATTACAGATCAAATTATGGTGTAATATTTTGTCGGAGATAAAATAATGTTAACTTTATGAATCTGCGGTAACAAACATAGATATAATGCCTATAGTAATAGGTAATAAAAGACGAGGAAAAAATAATAAAAAAAAAGACAATAATGTTATTAATTTACATACAATTTTTTTATAAATTAAAACGGTTTAAAGCCGGTTTTATATTCTAGCTTTATGATTTAAAGAGTTAATATTTTGAAAATTTGGAACAAAATTAATTTCAATGATAAATTAGTAAAAAAAATTGAATATCAATAGTTGAAAAATTTAAAATCTATATTATACTAAACAACATAATATTCTGGTTGTGTACGATCTAAACATTCGAATCCGAATTATCCGAGTGCATTGTTCTGCGGCGTTATTTTAGTGACGAAAATGTATAGCATCCCCAAATTTTTTTGTGTCTTCCCAAAATATTTTATCTCTTTTTTTTGTGAGATAAAATAATTATTTTCAAAAAAAAAAAAAACAACAATTTTACTTTAAATTAAATTGAACAAGACACGAGACAATTGACACAACAGACAATACACCGCTTGATATTAAGTGCATTTCAGACTTAGAGTCAGATAAGATAAGTACAATATATAATAAAAAATGATAAAAACTATTAAAATATAAAAAAAGCCTACTATATTATTATATATTTATATACCTACCTACATAATATAATTAAGGGTGTGATCAATAATAATTTTAATAAAACAAATTTGTTTTTTATATTATTATTGTCTTTTTTCCTAGATTAGAATCGGGACAGTATTTTGCCAGAAAATATAGAAACGGAACCATATTAAACAGAAAAATATGAAAATATTGATTAAATTCTGTATAGATCAGTGGTAGATTGCCCTACCATCTAAGTTTATTCACCAATATACGTATATACCTATCTACCTTGGCATATTGTATTCATAAATGAGCTTATCCTAAATGTGTCTTATATTAATTTTTAAAAATGACCCCCTCCCCCACCCCCATTATATTATGGATAAGGATTGGATTTAAAATGTATAAAAATAAGGGTAGGTTAGGATATCTATGTAATGCAATACGAGTGGCTTAAGATATTATACTTTATGTGCAGTTATGTATTAGAAAATTACTGTAGCTTAGATACCCACTTTTTTACCTGTGTATCCATTTCAAATGGGAATACAAGATAAACTGTAATAGGTACTTAGCTGTTTGTTTAAACCTTTTCCGTTAAACATGATTCCGTTTATATATTTTCCAGCAAAATAATTCCTGTCCCGAAGTTTATTTCATTGATTTAATACCGTTCATTTATACTGTTTACAATTATACGAATTCACGGAAATATTTTTTTGACAAAGAAAAATAATATTCCTTGAAATTATCATTCCACTATTATATCTATAACATTTCCAAATGTTATTTTCCTAGAGAATATTTTTCCGCCTTATATAGATGGGTCCTACAAAAAGTGTTCTTACCGATTGTTTTTAATTTTTCTCTGTACGAATTAAACAATTCGTATAATGTGCAATATACCTATCAATAATATTATAATATCAATGAAAGCGTGTTATTACAATTCACATGATCACAAGCACAAGACAAAGTTGACAAAGTATAATATTTGATCATTCGACGATTCCTAAAATTCACATCGACTCGTCAAGTATTAATTGAAGTCACTCATGATTTAAGATGGTATGGCTGGTTATCTATCTTCGGTATAAATGTAGTTTAAGTACCACGTGATTTTTCAGTCAAATTTTTGGACCACAATTTTTCGCACCGGCCGCCTGTATTCGGCGTCCTTTCTCTAGTGTTCAATGTTCATGTCAGACATACTAGAGACTTTAATTCTTTAATATTATATAATACCTATTATTATATTATAATACTATGTCTATGATATGAACCAAAGGCGCAACTAAGGTAAAAATTCTGGGGGCCTATAGCCTCAAATTTATTTGATTAAATTTGAAAATGTAATATTGTGTAAAAACAAATACAAATAATTTTTATAAAATATTAATGTATCTAACTATATTCTTCGTAATTGGGGGGAGGCTGTTTGAAAAAAAGGAGACTTATCTCCCCCCCCTAGTCACGCCTATGATATGTACATTATAATAAAGATTTGGATAAGCTATCCATACCTTGTCAGTGTTTCAAGAGGGTTGAGTAGAACTTTACATAGAGTTTCATAAAATAAGGCATTTTATCTATATAATGATGAACAATAAATCGCCTCAGTTTATCGCCCCTCCGGGAACATCGTCTCACATACAGTATTATTTTTAGAGGAGTGACCTAGCCACCTAGGTATTCATTTCTTTATCATCTATGGATATGAAGGACTGTCAACGAATAAACAATCAAGGTTTATAGATAATTATTTATTATCTATAAACCTTGCGTAACAACCACAGACTTATAATATATATAAGTATATAGTATATTATATATAACACCTATAGTACAGTATATATATATATATATATAAGTCTATGGTAATAACAATCTCTGAAATAGATAATAATATATTCTTATCTATATAGTGATAACAACGGCTTTTAACAATATACGTCAAATACTAAAATTATTATAATAGTATAGTACTTATAGTACTATAGAATCTGTAGTCACAGAATAACCTGAATGACAATTTTTTTAGATTTACATGTTATTCTGTGCTATAGTCTTCTATAGTCTATAATCTAGATCATAATTAATTAATTATCATAATTACTTCGTATAATTTTCTGCGAAAATATGTACATATGTAAATAAAAAAATGATCATGGTTTGTCTACATTTTACGTTTGTGACGTATTTTTTTTGTGTGATTGTGTAAAAAAAATGATTGTTGATCAATCAAATTAATTTTTTTTTTAAATTTTTATAATGCCTGTTCTAGTCAATTTTAAAATTTTCTCACCCGAATTTAAATTATGATCGAAGACTTGTGCCATCTCGATTCCTGGGGTCTGCCTCCCCAAATCGTTGACGTAAATATTTTGTACTTTGATTCCTAATAGTATCATTTGCGTGAACATTTTTTTATGTTGTATAATTATTTTAGAATTATAAAAAACGAGGCATTGTGTCAATGTTTCCTTGGCAAGTTGAGTGTTTAACATGTGATGGTGTTTTGGATGGACAAAATCTTGTATACTCGGCACCTACATCAGCTGGTTAACATTTTATATATTTGTTTTATTTAATTTATTTTTATAAGAATTGATATTATCTTAAACTATATCTATTCTTCTTATTAAATTACTATTTTATATTAAATTTACTAGATTACTATTATTTTATGTTCAGGCAAAACAATGGTTGCTGAAATTTTGACAATGCAAACAGTTTTAGAGAGAGATAAAAAAGTTTTAATAATTCTTCCATTTGTGTCAGTTGTACGAGAAAAAATGTTATATTTTCAGGTAAACATAAATATAAATAAATATTTTTATTAAACTATTTTCTTAAAATTATAAAATAGTAATAATCAATATTGAATGCAGGAACTATTTGAAGGCACAAACAAAAGAGTTGCAGGATTTATGGGTAGTTATACACCAACTGGTGGTTTACGATCTGTTAATGTTGCTATCGCTACAATTGAAAAGGCTAATGGTTTAATCAATCGGTAAAATATGAAATACAATTTCTATTTATGGTTACATACAATTAATTTTAATAATCTAACTTTAGTTTGATGGAGGAAGATGAACTACAAGATATCGGTTGTGTAGTTGTTGACGAACTTCATATGCTAGGTGATTCCAATAGAGGGTACCTCCTAGAATTACTATTAACAAAAATCAAATACATGTCTAAAATGTATGCATTATTATAATTTACAACCATATTATTATTTACTTTGATTATTTATTAATATTTAAAATATCTGATTTCAGAAGAAGTAATATATCAATTCAAATTGTTGGTATGTCTGCTACATTGCCAAATTTAGAAATGCTTGCAAAATGGTTAGATGCCTCGCTATATCAAACTGATTTTCGCCCAGTGCCTTTAAAAGAGTACTTAAAAATTGGACAAAATGTATATAATGTTAACAATCTTTCTTTAAGTCATATTATTAAACCCAGTGTTGAAATCAAAGTAATAAGAAATTATTATTAGTATTGATTAAATCATTCAATACAATGAATATTGTGTGTTTAGAAAGATCCCGATCATGTAATATATCTTTGTGTTGATACTATTCTTCAAGGATATTCAATATTAATATTTTGTTTTACAAAAAAATGGTGTGAATCTTTAGCTTTGGAAATTGCCTCGGAAATTAAGCGATTAGGTAGCAAAATGTTATTTGTTTTAATTTGTTTAATATTCAATTTTTGTTTTAATTGTAGGTGGAGATAATAAATCAAAAGTTGGAATAGATCTACGCCATCAACTAAATGCCAAGAGTCTAGGAGATGTATTGGAGCAACTCCGAAGATGTCCTGTTGGCCTTGAAACTGATTTAAGTAAAACCATATCATTTGGAGTTGCTTTTCATCATGCAGGTATTATTTTAGATCCTAAGTGAAGTGAGGGATCTCTCCTAGAAATCTTGCTCCAATTAAAACACAATAAAAGATTTTTTTTTTGCATTTTAGCTCTAGTTGGTACTTTAAAAAGGCTATTTTTTGAAATTCTCATTAATACCCGAGATGATGAAAAAAAACTGGTTCTTTATGCTAAAAAAGATTAAAAGATTAAAAATAAAGTTGTCATTGGCAACCATTTTTATTTATTTTTCGTTATTATTAAGTTTTTATTATTTTATTATTTTAATCTTTTCAAAACAATTGTTGCTATTGTGAAATCATATATTTTTTTTTTTAGATTCTGAGTAGAGCGAGGACTGTATTGGTTTTATAATGATATTTTATTTTTTCTTATGTGAACACTTTGTCTACCAGAAAGCTTACCCTGATAATCAAGTATAGCATAATTTCTGAAAAGAAATGTTCTCTGAGTGGTACTTTAGAGAAGCTATTTTTTTGAAATTATCATTAATATTCGAGATAATGAGGAAACCTAGTTCTTTAGGTTAAACTAGATTGAAAGATTAAAAATAAGGTTGTCATTGGCAATCATTTTTATTTATTTTTTGTCATAAAGATTTTATTATTTTAATATTTTTAAAACAATTATTGTTGTCATAGTAAAGGAATTTGTTGTTATCATTTTACCATAATATAAGTTATCTAATTTAACCTCAGAATCTTTTTTTTTGTTGACAATGGTTTATCATTGCTTACAGGTATAAATTAAATAACTTTATGCATCCCACCTTCCCAATTACCCACTTATCTACACAAGTTCTGGGTTTAGATTAGATATGTGGGTTTTCTTCTTCCTTTTTTCCCTTTAGTTTGTTAGAATTGTGTTTAGATTTTTTTGTACATACAAAAGTTCATTGAAAAAATATAAAGAAAACAAAAAAAAAATATTGCTTGCTAAACTAGAATGATTTCTAATTTTACATTTTTACTATAATATTAGTTTTATTCATTTTTACTCTATCTAAATAATTCAGACAATTTTTTAGTCACATGTTTATTGAATTATTGAGATTACTTTTTAACAGCTCTATAATATTTTCTTAAATTCTCTTTTCATATGAAGATAAAATCTATTTTTGCAGTTATAACTAAAATAAAAAGGTAAAGCTTTTGTTAATTGGCCTATTAAGGTTTATATGCATTTTGGACATTAGCACAAAAAGTTGTAGGTGAAATAGTGTTAATTTTTATACCTAGTTATTTGTTTTTCTCAATTGTTATAGTATACCTCTGTAATTAATCTATTTAAAAAAAAAATTTTTATTTTATTTTTTAAAATTCATATTTTAGTTTTTAATAACATCTTCAAATTGTTATTAGTAGTTATTGTGTTATTATAACAATGTAATGCTTTTATTTCTTGAAATAGTTAAATGGAAATAGGCTTAAAAATTATATCTAAAACATTTTTAGGTAGTTTAATTTAAACAGCTTAAAGATTTTGATATTTTATCATTGTTTTTCATATTCATATGTGAGTATTTTTAGGATATCTATATAATCTTCCCATAAAAGTTAAAAAATAATACTATTTAATATGCTAAGTAAAATAGTATAATGTTTTCAGTTTTTTGTAGGTCTTACAATGGATGAGAGAGATATAATTGAAGGAGCATTCAAGCAAAATATAGTAAGAGTTCTAGTTGCCACATCAACTTTATCCTCTGGTGTAAATTTGCCTGCACGAAGAGTAATTGTGAGATCCCCACACTGTCATGGATTTCCTATTGATATTTTACAATACCGACAAATGATTGGACGTGCTGGCAGAATGGGTGTTGATACTGCTGGTTAGTTGTTTTTGTTTTATTTGAAGTATAAGATAATTTGTTTTTGTTATTATAGGAGAAAGTTATTTGATATGCAATGAAAATGAACGAAGGATGGGCGAAGAAGTTGCTACCCATAACCTTCCACCAATAAAAAGTTGTTTAGGCGTTGGAGATTTTTCTAATTGTTTAAAACGTGCATTATTGGAAGTGGTTGCAGGTTGTGTTGTTTGTACTACAGAAGATGCTTTTGAGTATATTAAGTGTACTTTACTTTATATATCAACTGGTGAAAATTGTATGCATATAATATTAAATTAATTTTAATAAACTTTATCTTATTCAGTTGTTTTAAAAACTATTCTAGTTAATGAAAATCTAATTCACCAGTGTCTCAAGCTATTAACTGAACATCAATTTATACGGGAAAGTGACAATAAGTTAGCTCCAACTAATTTGGGACAAGCATGTCTTGCAGCATCTGTTACACCTGAAATTGGTCTAAAATTGATTAAAGAACTAGATAAAGCAAGACAAAACTTTGTGCTTGACTCTGAATTACATTTACTTTATTTAGTATGATATTTTGTATATTTTATATGTATAGATTTTATTTTATTACGGCAAAATTTATATTTCAGATTACACCTTATTCAGTTAGTGAACAGATAGGACATTTGGATTGGTTTAGGGTTTTGAATGTATGGGAAAAATTACCATATTCTATGCGCAAAGTAGGTGATATGGTCGGCATTGAAGAAGGTTTCATTGTTAAAGCAATGACTGGAACCAGTTTTAGTACGTCTTCAGATGTAAGATTATGATTTGTTATTTATTAATTATTGGTTTGTTTTTATAATTTATCAGGCGCTGTAAAATATAATTGATCCTCCATTACTACTTTTCTGTTTAAAAATAGTCAACTTAAAAGTGATACCATTTAAGTTTTCATTAAAAAAAGAAATGTATAGTGAAATGTACTGTGACATAAAGTTAGAAAGACTTTGTTTATTACTGTTCATTATTTTTTATTTATTTATGATTATAACTTTATCAATTAATTATATTTTAGATTTGGTCAAGAAAATGATTAAAATATATTTTAAATATGTAAGATATTTAAATATGGTAAGGTGTTTTAGAACTTATAATCTTATTTAATTGCAGGACAGAATAACTAAACTAAGGTTTTACTAAGTAGGTATATTTGGTATTTATGAAATATTATAATAGCTATAATTAGGTTTTATTATTTTAATAGACGATAGGCTAACACGTTTTTAAGTAATTATTATGGAATTTCAGAAACACAAATTAGCTGTTCACAGAAGATTTTATACATCACTCTTATTAAATGATTTGATAAATGAAGTTTCTATTAACACAGTGGTTGCCAAATTTGGCACATCTAAAGGTCTTTTACAAAGTCTGCAGCAATCATCATCTACTTTTGCTGGTTAGATTACAAAAATATTTGTATTGTTTTTTTATTTACTTATTTATTTTTTTAGGTATGGTGACACAATTTTGCAAGAGACTTGGTTGGTCATCTTTGGAATTATTAATATCACAGTTTTCTGAAAGACTACAATTTGGTGTACAAAGACAACTTGTTGAGTTATTACGTTTAGATTGTTTGAACTCAATTACTGCCCGAACATTATTTAATGCAGGAATACAAACTATCCCAGAACTAGCCTTAGCCGAATTGCGTTTAGTGCAGCGTGCTCTGTCCAAAGCAATTCCATACCAAAAGTAAACATTTAATATAAAATTTTTAGAAAATTAAAAAAAAAAAACAAATTTTTATTAGTAATGAAAATACTGATGATGTTAATGACGAAGAAGAAAGAAAGAACATTTGGTTGGCTGGACGATTTGCTCTCAATGCAAAAGAAGCAGCTATTTATATTATAAATGAAGCAAGACAGCTTTTAAAAGTAAGATTTAATGTCTTCAATAAATTGTGTAAAACGGGTTTGATAATACTTGGCTTATAATTATTATTTAAACTAACTTCAAAGGAAATATTAAGACGTTTTTATTGAATAGTTGCCATAATATAATATATTTTACTAATCATTAATTGATTCAAATTTTAAACAATATGATATGATTATTTTTTTTATAGAGAGAACTTGGTCTTAAAACTGCTTGTTGGGTTGAAAATAATAACAATGATGAAAATGATTTAGATACAACTGTGGATTCGGTAAAGATACGTCCTACAACATCAAGAGATGTAACTGTGATTGAAACTAGTCAAGAAAACAACAAATCACTAGAGTCTTTAGTAAAAGATTCACCACACTCATCAAGAGGAGATAGTGTTGATTTATTTTCCAAATCTGATTGTATAAATAGTGAACAAGTAGAAGTCTTAAGTAAAGATTATAAGCGAGAAAGTTTGGATCTATTTGATGGGTCATTTGAACAAACTAAATTTAGTATTACTGTAAATGTTTGTTCAGATAAACTTATTAATAACTCAATAAGTGATTCATATTTAGCAGAATTGATAAACATCAAGACACCCAAAGAACCTGAAGAGAAATGGGATTGTAATAACGGAGGAGAAGGTATCTTGGAAATGAGTCAAAGAGATTTTGGGTCCAAGAAACGAAAAAGAGAAGAAGACTTGCAAGTCGAGAAAGATAAATTACATGATACAATTTTGGAACCTCAGCCAAAGTATAAAAAAAATGACGAATCTAATGTTTGTCAACCTTCAACTAGTTATTGTCAACCTTCAACTAGTCATTATCAACCTTCAACTAGCCTTACTAAATCTGAACATGGTAATTTATTTGAAAGCACAATGTTTTCAGACTCCTTAAGAATTGATACTCAACTTGATCGACTATTGAACGGTCATAATAAATCAAGCATTACTAATAATATGATATCTACAGAAATGAGCACGAGTATAATGCAAATGGCATTTCAAAATACTTTTAATTTAATGTCAAATACAATCATATCTCCAAAAATATGTCTTGTCGATAATACTTGTAAAGATTTAATTATATCCGATTCTGAAGATATGATTGCTGGGTCTCAAGAAACTACATCTAGTGGTCCATCTCCTCGCAAGTATGTTTTGGTTTTATTGAATATAACAGCATAAAAATTAATAATAATAGTTATTGATTGTTTATAATTTATTTGTATGCACTTTAGAGAATCGCCATTGAAACCAGACAAAAATGCGAATTCAATAAAATTTGATACATGGGCATATAAAACTAAAATAATAGAAAGTATAGAATCGTTTGCTCGTGAACATTTTTCAGATATTAGACGTAGGAAAGAAATAACTATAGCTTTGAATTTATGTAAAGAAACTAATATTGAACAAAAAATTGGTGCTAAAGCTGTTAGACGGAGTTTAGAAAACAAAAATAAAAATGTATTTAAATTTAATGACCAAGTACTAAAAGGTTTTGCCATTACATGGCATAAACAGATAGTTGTGCAATATGCAAATTTTAATATAGTTGGTATGTAATCTATTTGTAATCGTGTGTTAATGGACATTGAAATTATTATATATTTGTTTTTTTATAGGTCCATCTGGTATAAGTCTACTGAAAAAGTTAATATCCAATAAGAATTTAATTGTTAACATAACTGACGCAAAATTAAACTACAAAATTATCTCTCATTTTTGCAAGATTAAACCCGTTTGTAAATTCAGAGATCCTTTTGTAGCAGATTGGTTAATAAATGGTCAACACAAAAATTCATTGAAGAATTTGGTAATGCATTTTTGTTTATATTTATAATCAAAAATAATTGTTTTGCTTTTTCAAGAGGTATTTTAAGTTGTTAGCTATCTAAAAACTATATTTTGGTTTAGATTCAGTGGCATTTAAACTTCCAAGGAAGTGTTCAAACAAATGATGCATGTTTTAATGCATTTATCACTCAAAAATTAATGACAACTTTAAGACATCAACTCAAACAAATATATATTTACAAAACTTTTAAAGGTAACTAGGTACTATTATTATTCAATCATATATCATAATCATGGTAGAACCTAGAAGTATATGAACAGCCTTATATTTATTACTCAAATAATTGTCCCAGTGGATATGTTTGATTCACGAGCTTATCAATAGATTGCACTGTATTCTTTTGGCACTAATTTTGATACTTATAATACACAATTCATACAATAAACGAACAAAAAGTCTCATCAAAAACAAAATTTCACATAGTTTAAGATAAATGAAGATATGTATTAATATATTATAAATTTGACGTTATGCTAGGTAAAATGTAAATATTAATTAATTATAAAATAATAAAGTAAAAATAAAATTATTAAAATGGTTAATATTCGTAATAAATAATTACTCAAATAATAAGCCAATACAAATTTAAAAAAAATAATATATTAGTAATTAATTTTTGTCAGGTCTACCCAATTTTTCTAGCATACACAATTATAAAAAAAAATTGTTGGATTACTATGTTTGAGGTTATTATGTTTAATATTAAAAACATTTTAATTTTTTTTTATAAAAAATTGAATGTAGAGTAATTTTAAAATTGTAAAATTATATATAATATACATTTTATATTTATATGTTTTGCAATATAATATAAATGGTTGTGATGTTGTGTGAAGGTTCTATTTTGCAATTATAATAAATCAGTTAAAAGTAAAAAAAAAAGTGACACAATAAATTATTTTTATTATTATGAATTTATTTTATTATGGTGAATATCTTAAAACAATAAAATATATAATTCATATTTCATTATAGACAAAATATAATAGGTACCTACCTACAATAATAGTATAATCATTTTAGTTAGGGCCAAAAGATTATTACATGATCTAATGGTGAGTATTTTTTTAATACATGTTTTTTGAGACACAATTTTAATAGTTGTGCTTATACCAGTTAATCTACCTTGATCATAATTCTTATTTTCATCTGTGTAATTAATGTTTTACCATTAGATATAGAAATGCCCATACAAGTTGTTTTGGCAAAAATGGAAATGTACGGTTTTGGTCTAAATAAAGACCACTTGGTAGAGTTAAATAACACAGTGAATCATTTAATGGAAAATATTTCTCAACAAGTACTTGAATTATCAGGAACTAAGTTTAACATGCATTCAACAGTAGAGTGGGCCAGAGTATGAATATAATATTATTTGTTTGGTAATCAATTTCATAATGTAAATTTGATTTATTAGGTAAAAAAAAAATTAAAACTGTCTGATGATTCTTCGCATCCTTTGGTTTTATTGGTAAAAGATTGGCGAAAATTGAGTTGCCTTAGAAACAATGTAAGTACATTAATGTTCTATGTTTGAAATAACTTCAGATATATTAATACATTTTAAATACAATTTTTAATTTTATAGCATATAAATATTTTTTTGGCTACAATTAATGATCGTATATATTGTGACAGTAATACATTTTCTAATACGGGTAGAATAAGTATGCACGAACCAAATTTACAAAATGTACCTAGAGATTATGTTATTGGAAATGAATTAATAAGTATTCGATCTGCATTTGTATCCAAACCAGGTTTGTTTAATTTGTATTTTTAACTTTAATTATAAATGTATAAAGCCAAGTATTTATAATCAATTTTATTACTTATGTGTCATAATTATTTTTAATTCATAATTAATTTTCCAAAGATTTTGTGGTATAGGATATAGGGCATATAGTAATTTTTAAATTATTTCTAGGCATTCGAGATATTGTTAACCTGTACATTATAATATTTACAGAAATCTACTCATATTAAATATATATATGAATTCTATTTTTTTGCATGTAAACAAACTTAAAAAACTAATTGGATTATTCTTATGGCATTTAGTTTTGTGTATGCGCATACATCTTTTTTTAAAAATGGAAATCAATTTTTTTGAGTAATTATTTTTTCTCAAATTTTTTTTTTATGAATTTTAATGACTAAACCAACTTCCTAAATAAAAAAGTAGTAGAGTTATGAATATTTAAATGTTTGATATTTTTTAATTATTCACCAATTTGATGATTTTAATTTTTTTATTCTTACACCATATGATATCTTTTAGTTTTATTTTTAATTTTTTGGGGGAAGATTACTCTCCCTCTACCAGAATACTAGGATTAATCTTAATTTTTTTTTTTTATTATTTATCTCTGTGTGATTTAAACAAAAAAAAAACAATAATATACAATTTATTTTAATTTTCATAGTTTAAGATAACATTGATTTATCTTATAATTTGTTCAAACCGATGCCCATTATGATTTAAGCATGTTTCTGCCATCCATAAAAATCCCCATTTGTTACAGTTAAAATTCTGCCCTTCAGTAAGTTGAATATACACTATATTTATTTTCTATTTCAAATGCATAAGACTAGTGTCCCATTAGTTCCTATCCAACAATTTTTAAGTTATCAGTCAAATAATTCCATTAGTATACGTAAGAGTAAATTTTAGTGTTAGTAATAGAATAGCTATCTTGATCCCCTGATCCTTCACCATTAGACTACTTTTTGTGGGGATATCTAAAATCTGTAATCTATGCAGAATCACATATTAGTTTTATATGTTTGAAAGAGAAAAGAAATATAGTGTGTATTCAACTTATTGAAGGGCAAATTTTAATTGCAACAAGTTAGGAATTTCTAAACAGATACATGCTAAAATCGTGCTAAAAATATAAGTAGTTTGAAAAATGTATAAGATGAAAATGAATGTAATCTTGAACTATACAAAGTAAAATTAAAAACATTTTTTGTATGTTTTTCTTTAATTACTCGGGGATATAAATTATATATAATATATATTAAAAAAGTAAATTATGGTAGGATGAGAGGTTTATATGCTGTAAAAATTAATAATTTAAGTCTTCAAATTAGTGAATTATTTAATTATTTAATTTAAAAATGTCAAAAAATAACATCAATAATTTTTTAACTTAAAAAATTGGTTCGACCATTAAAACGTATTAAAAATATGAGTAAAAATAATTACCCTGAAAAAAAGGGTGGGGTTTTTTTAGCAAAACATTTTTTTTTATGCGCGTGTGCAAAATTGAATAGCATACAAATCATTTAATTAGTTTCATAAGTGTACAACAAAGTATTTTAGGCATCCAAAAAAATAGAATTCAAATATATTTAATCTGGATAGTTATAGAATGTTTCTAAATCATACTTATACGCTGTATACTAATGTATAATAATATATATATTTTGTATTTATTTAATTCTTTTAACTTATAAAAAATAGTTCTGTCATATCTGTAGGTATGGTGTATAAATTAAGTAATAAAATAAATTTCAGAATATATTTTATGTTGTAGATCAAACTTTGGTGTCTGTAGATTTTTGTCAAATTGAGTTACGGGTGCTTGCTCATTTATCCAAAGACTCTACATTATTAGCTGCTCTTAATGCTCCTGGCGATGTTTTTATAAATTTATCATCCAAATGGCACAAGATTCCAGAAAATGAGGTTTGTATATTTAAAAGGGAATATTTTATAAAAAGAAATATGTGATAATAATGTTTACTAATATTACTTGATTAGGTGTGTGATGAACTAAGACAAAAAACCAAACAAGTATGTTATGGTATGTTATATGGTATGGGTGCATTGAGTTTAAGTGAATCTTTACACATTACTGAAGATGAAGCACAGAAACTGATATCAGAATTTAAAAGTACATTTTCTGGTGTTACTAAATTTTTTAATGAATGTGTGACACAATGTAGATCAATAGGGTTGGTAAAAACACTGAGTGGACGTATAAGACATTTACCAGATATTAACAGTGAAGTACAAAAAATCAAATGTATGCTTTCTTTTTTTATTAACTATGAATAGATGAACAGTGTTTAGTGTATTATTATATGATTATAGCTCATGCAGAACGACAAGCAATCAATACAATTATTCAAGGAAGTGCTGCAGATGTAGTTAAAATGGCTATGATTAAAGTTGATAAAATCGTTAATCAAGGTTTCCCTGAGCCTCGTATACACTTAGTTATGCACTTACATGATGAACTTATTTTTGAAGTAATCAAATGTTTTTATTTTGGTGTATTGTATTAATTAACATAAATATAATGAATAAATAATTTTGCTATTTTATTATTTTTACAGGTGCTGAGTTCAGATGTTGATGAAGCTTGCTCAATAATTGTCAAAACCATGGAGACTGCAGTAAATTTATGTGTACCTATGCCTGTGAAATTGAGAAAAGGTTCTTCGTGGGGTGATCTAAAATAATGATCTCATTTTCAACCGTTTTGTTTAATGAACAATAAAAATATTAATTTTTTTTCATTTAATTAGGAAAAATCAATATTTTATATTGTCTATTAATTGATTTTACTTTTTTTTTCTTTTTTTTTTTTACAAACCTATGTTCTAATTAAATTTTTGTTTTGTTTTTAATGTTATCTAATACCCACTATTTGTTGTATTATACATATGCCATTATTGTCTTTTTTTATCAATATTTTAATCTTTAACCTATATGTTAATAATTAATTTAGTTGCACTGATTTGTTTAGTTAATGATTCAAATTAGTCAATGTTAACATTCATATTGTCCCAGTTAATACATTTTGTATGAACGGGGACCATATTATATTAGTTATAAAATATTCTTTTGAAAAGATTTTTTTGTTTGTATGTAATATTTGTAATTGAATTATAATATATATGTATATTTTGAATTTTGGGGAATGTGTGATATTTATCTTAATTATTATTTGTAATTCAATTGCTTATTTTCTTGTAATAACTAGTTTTATAGAAGATCATTATAGGTACAAGGGCAAATATTTATATTATGCCCTTAAAACTTTTAAACATAATATATGCAGATATGCACTAAAATTATAAAAATACCTATATCTTTAAATATACTATAGAAGAAATAATATTACAAATTAAGTTCAAAATGTACAAATTCATAAAATGAGTCCTTAAAATCCATAAATGCCAAAATTAAATTGTGTGTTTTAAAAGAATCGTTAGGTCATGATTCATGAAACACATTTTGGCATATACTAAAAATGTTTTGACCAACCAAAATAAATATGTAAAAGCATATAGATTAGCATGTATTTGCCTATTTATAAATCTTAACCAATAATTTAAAATAAAATGACTTAAAAATACCAAAATATGTAAAATGAAATTCTTTATACAGAAACGTCATAGAATATTTTGTGATAAATTGGCTATTTTTACAACAAACTAATAAAAACATGGAAACGAATATAAATATTTGCTTTAGTCATTACTTATCATTTTGTAACTTCATATAATATATATGAGCCAAATTATTTAAACGCTACTTATAAATTTTTTGTTTCCGTCTTACATAGTTAAAATATGCTTATGCAGACTACACATTCTTAGAGTAAAATCATCTATTATAAAAGTAAAAGAGAAAAATATTCTGGAGGATGAGATGTTGTGTTTTTCCATTTTCTCCAATTATAATAGTCAATTTGTCATTTATAAATAATGACTTCTTCAACATTTTTTAATTAATAAAACTTGAAAAACATTTTTTTCAAAAAAACAACATTCTGTATCTTGCCCTCTGGAATATTGTTCTCTATTAATTTATAATAGATGCTTTTACACCAAAACCAAAACTAAGCCAGTTCTGTGTAGACTGCATAAGCATGTTTTTACTTGGTGTATTGTGTGTTTGTAAAACGGAAACAACAAATGCATGTTATATCTTTATTGTCTTGGTATGTCATTACTCATTTAGTAGATAACTACCAATTGCATCAATTCATAGGTGTCTCTAACTCTCCACTATACCTCAAAATTTTTTTCAGGACACTAATTTATTGATTTCTAGTAAAACATGTATAGCAGAGACTAAACTTTATTGATAGCATTAAAATCTGTACACATTCCGAATATTGACTTAAACATGTACACCATACACCAGTGGTGTGCTGTGATATTTTATATTGTGTAAGTGCTAAAATATCAAACTTAAAAATAAAGCATAAAAAACAATATTTAATGTATAACTGTATGCAACGATTAATCTTGACTACGAAAAATGATTCTGAGCAGAGTTCAGTTACACATGTTTTAAAATGTTCGAAAATAATACATTTCTTATATTTTCGCGTTTTTCCTCAGTTTTTTCCAGATTTTTCCCATTTATTGGAAAATTATAAAATGACCACCTTAAAGTAACATCCCAGTTTGATGTCCTTTCAGAAAAAGTGCTATACTTGAAAATCGGAGCAAAATTTCTGATAGAAAAGTTGCCTACAGAAAGAAAAAATAAATAAATAAACATTATTGTAAAATCAATACATTCGCTTCGCTCAGAATCTAAAATATTACAAAATAATATTAAAATTTCAATAACTAATGTATCCGTTAATAATAATAATAACGGAAAAATATTGGAATTACGTTTTTTAATTTATCGATTAAGCGCTCGACCAAGCGCTTCCAAATGCCATATAAAAACGTGGGTATGCCTTTTTACTGCAACCGGTCTTCACTAAAATAACAGTGCGAGCTGGGCAATGTAAAATACGAGCGTTTCTGTAAAGAAATTGCCTATACAAAAAATAATTAATTTTTTTCTGAAAAAACCTTATGAATTGTTTTAAATAGAACTAATAAATAATTATTTTTTTTATTTGATAAAGAATTTAAAATAGTAGTGATTTAAATGTATAAGTCACTTTTTCATTTAACATAATAAATGTTTAACTTTTTCTTTCTTTTTGGCCGGGCATGCGCCGTTTACCCTGACGGCACGCCACTGCAAATTGTAATACACGTACTCTCCAAATTTGTAATTCGGATTTTAAATCATTGATTAAGTATACTGTGTTAAATGTAAATTTTCAACATTTTTTTTGTTCGTTTAGATGTTTAGAAGCTTTACTAATCCAATAAAATTAATAGGTATACAAGTAATATGTGAAATTAATTATTATTAATTAAAAAAAAAAAAAACAAAACATATTATTATGTTTTGATAAAATACTTTTAATTTATCAAACAGAACTTTTCTTTCTTTGCTTTTAAACTTCTCACAAAACTAATAAAATCTTTTACTGTTATTAAAAAAAGTCTCAAAATCAAAACTTAGCTGATAATATAAAATTCAAGATGAAATCTATAATAGGTACGTTTATGATAATAATAACAATGACGCTTTATCCGGAATCCGGATATCCCGTCCGTCAATCGTTTATTGTTTTTTTTCTCCGAACAGGAAACATCGATTCTGAAGGCATCACGAAAATTAGGTTTCAAAGTTTATGGTCCCTAGAGAGTTTTATATCAAGTTTGATATTCTTTGTGAACTGTCTATGAAAATCTACGACATAAATAAACGTTGACACAGCGATATAGACGATACAGGTTATAAGGTTTATTAGAGGCGTTGACATAAATAGCTACATTTGATTTGTACGTGTATTTAAAAAAATATATTTAATGCACTTAAAATAATATGCACTTTTACTGAAAAATCATCCATCTATTAAAATTGTATTTAATTCTCGAAACCGTGAAACGAATCATTAATCTAAAAAGAGCTAATACTGGGGATGGGAGCAACCGCTGTTGTAGGTGATAAATTTGGGAGGTAGGATACATAAGATTATTACATTTATATCTGTAAGCAACGATAAACTATTGCTAGACGAAAGACGATTCCGAGCGCAGTTCGGTAATACATAATTTGAAATACCTACAAAAAGATTTTTGAGGACTCCTTCCAGAAAAATGTTGAAAATCCGTTTCTGAGCATATAGGTAATATTTTATGATTTATGTAGATACAACTATTTTTTATTTTAAACAATTTTAAATTCATATATATTAAAAAATACATACTATGATTGATATGTGTACATTTTAAATTCTTACAAATGATAATATTTTCTGCCCAATATTTAAAAAAAAAAAAAAATAATATATAGATATACCTACTATCTAGGTTTTTTTCTTCTATGGTTTCTCCTTTGTCTTAATGCCAATTATTTGGCATTGTTATTATACCATTGTGGATTTTTATTATTTTTGTGTTAAATTTAATTTGCAATAGGTCCTGGTAGTGGCTGGCCAGCAGTTCATCGACGAATTTTGTGAGTTTTATACAATTATATTATAATTCGTATTTTTTTTTCGAGCGTGATGCACTAAATCTAAGTAAAAACGCGAGGGCTAGGGTCTGAGTCCCTCCTTAAGAACGACCCTGTCCACACGATTATGACAAAATAGCCTGGTATGATGAAGACTTTGTAATACGCATTGATGGCATCCAGTTTGTCATTTTTGATTGTCTTATGATAAAATAATTAATGAAATACAATGAACTGGATACTACCGATGCGTATCACTAAATTATTGCTATCATATTAGCCACCTGATTATTTTGTCATGCAATCGACGACGAATACTTCCAGCCAACCACTTCGATCTATTGCTGGACTAATATCTAACAACATTGTATAGGTTTAGTGCGTTAAATTGAAAATAATGGTGTTTATATCGGCACTTACTAATTGAGATAAGAACATTTAGCTAAAGTTAAATAAGTCCTTTTAACTCTTCGCCTTTCCCGTATCCTTTGAAATACGGTTAGAAACAGCTGTGTGAAAGGTTACCGTTAAATTTTTTCACAAGGCGTTCTCATTATTATATTTCGGTTTGCTAAAAGGCTAATGTTTATCTAGGATAATTATTATCTATAAACGTATTTGGCAGTACGGATGCTAATTGAACCTGAACATTTAAAACTGTTTTACAGCTGGTGGTCCGCTATACTTTATTCAATGTATCGAATATTTCTCTACCTTCAGAAGAATATCTATAAATAATAATTATTATTATTATTACTATAATTATTGGTAGGTACATAGTTTAAATTTAAATAGGTACCAATTCGTTTGGAAATATATTTTTTGAAAACTCGATGCTATTTATAATTGTATACCACAGTGTATTTATAAATACCTAAAGGATTTATTTAAGAAAAAACATAATACGATTATGACGCGATTCAAACATATTTAGGTATATTAATTGTACTAGACCGAGGGGAGGGTCATTGGAAATCAGTGAACTGTTGCGAGATCAATCGTGTTATATTTACAATATAGGTGTACTCATAGATATTATAATATTTTATCGGTACATTGGTATATATTATATTCAATACAATTATTATTGATTTTCGGTTACTTATAGCTTTAGTTGAATAGGTTTATAATATAAACTTGTGCACGGTGAGTGGCATATAGTTTAAAATAAACATACTGGAAAAATAAGGCTATTGCCATACATATAGCTGATTTAGGAGCGGGGATACTTGGATACCTACTGTATTTCCGGGATTTAATAAAAAAAGTTCCCGTGCGTTTATATTTACATTTTTATTTTATATTTTAATAGTAATAGTTGTGCCTACAATATTATATGTATTTTCCTCTGATCTTGTTATAATATTATTGGATTTGTCTAACCCAAACAATATTAAATTCAATTTGTTTGTCTAATAAATGTTTTATTCTGGGACTGGGACATGTCATAATTGTTATAGGTATATGATTATTTTTCATCGTAGTACATCTGGTAGAGGTACTTTTAAGGCAATAATAATAATACTTTTTCTTTTTTTCATTTCTAAGAATATTTGTTAATTTCTGAGTATTCGCGCCGTGTTATATTTCAC